CTGGGACGCTTCTCGTCGATGTAAGAGTGGAGAGGCGAGGGAGGCAGGACGAGGAGCGACGGAGGCGGGAGGAGCCAGGACCAGTAGTAGGAGGGAGGAGGGAGGAGGGCTGATGGGGGAGGGAGGAAGGAGGAGACAGGAGGAGGAGGAGGAGGAGGAGGAGGAGGAAGAGGGGGAGGGAGGAGGGAGGAGAAAGGAGGAGGAGGAGCTGGGAGGAGGATGAGCAGGAGAATGAGGATGTGGAGGATGAGGGCCAGTGCATCTGAAGGTTCATCAAGGATGTTGCAATTTCACTCTTCTTCCCAGTCCCCTCGTGCTACCATTCCTGGAACTTCACCCATACGCATCCTTGACACTGCTACGAATATGCGCAGCGCTACGGCACTAACCACATTTTGAAAAAGAGCCGTCCTCCACCAGCGAATTTGTTGCAAACGTTTAAGACACATGTGCGCTGCTCTCAGGCGAGAGCCACATGTGGAAAACCGCCCGCCCTCCATCATTGAAGCTGCTGTTAGCTTTCAAAACGAAGATGCGCAGCGCTAAGGCGACAGCCACACTTCGGAAAGAAGCTGCCCTCCATCATTGAAATTGTTGGAATTGTTTAAGACAACTGTGCGCGACGCTAAGTCGAGAGTCACATATTGAAAACGCCCCACCCTCCATCCGTGAAACTGCTGCAAATTGTTAAGACACATGTGCGCGGCAGTAAGGCGAGAGCCACATTTTGAAAACCACACGCCATCCGCCTTCGAACCTGTTGCAGATTTCAAGGTTCAGGGTCATCAGTGGTGAGGAAGTCTCAGGCGTAGCGCCCGGTCCGCCCTACCGACACGTCTGGGGGAGCGACAGGGAGAAGTTAGTCTTCACGCTTCGCGTATCCCCACCAACCCAAGAGTTGACGGGAAAGGGGACGAAGAGACACATTTAGTGAAACAAGCGGGCAACCAGGGTGAGTAGCGAGACTTCTGGGAGCAAGGGGGTGGCCTTGGAGGACCTGTTCGGGCCATCCCTGGGGCCCGCGTAGAGGTAAGAAGAGGATGAGGATGATGATGAAGACGACGACGACGACCACGACGACGAGGAAGAGGAAGAAGACGAAGAGGAAAACGATCAGGGCAAGGATGAGGACGAGGACGAGGAGGAGGAGGAGGAGGACAACGAAGACGAGGACAGAGCCCTCAAATCGCCTCTTCGAGACTTCTTAGGACCCTTTTGGGGGATCTCTGGGTCCTCTTGGGGCTCTCTTGGAGGGTTCTTGGGGCTCTCTTTGGGCCCTCTTGGAGACCTCTTGGGGGTCCCTTAGGAGCCCTGGAGGGCCTCTTGGGGCCATCTTGGATGCCAACTTACAAGCTTTCCCCTCCAAAAATACCACCCCAAACCCCAACCACCAAACCCCGACCACCAAACCCCAAACACCAAACACCAAACACCAAACACCAAACCCCAAACCCCAAACACCAAACACGAAACCCCAAACATCAACCCCCAAACACCAACCCCAAAACCCCAAACTGAGGGGCAATAAGGAGGAGGAGGAGGAGACCTATGATAAATGATGAGGGTGATCACGATGATGATGTGGTGGTTGTGATGATGAGTAGGGGAAGGCTTGCCATGGTAATGGTGAGGCTGATGATTGTCACGGTGGTCGGGGGTCTTCGGGCTCTCTTGTGCGCCAGTTGGCCGTTTGGGGGCCATCTTGGGGCCATCTTGGGGGTTCTCGCCAAGCTTAGGGGCGATCTTACTACTACCACTACTATCTCATTACTGTTGCTATCCCTGGCGTTATCACTACTACTACTACTACTACCACCACTACTACTACTACTACTACTACTCCTACTACTACTACTACCACCACCATGACTACTAGTATTACTGCTACCACCATTATCCTTGCTGCTACTGCGAGTACTCTTCTCATTACTGCTACGACGGAGGCTATTACTACTACTGCAACCACTACTGTGTGCATATGTTGCGTATACGCCCGCCCATACGTTTCGCATGCGTATCGTTTCTTTTTCGTGTGCTTTGCGTATCCGTCTCGTATACGCTTGGTATAGGTTTTGTTGACGTTTTGCACACACGTTTTGTTTGCGTGCCGTCAGTTTTTTTGTAGACGTTGTGTATGTTTGTCGTATATGTCGCGGGTGCTCTTTGTATGACAGTGCGGTATCGGTGTCGTATGTGTTTCGTCTATGCTGTGTACTTGTTACGTATAGGTTTGTATGCGTGTTGTAATTGCTCCGTGTATGTTTCATATTAGTGTCGTAGACGCTCCGTGTTTGTTGTGCAGGCTTGTTTGGTATACGTGCTGTTTACTTGCGTCCATGCTTCGTATCCTTGTGTTTACGTGCCAGAATTTTTCGTATGTGCCTCGCATGTGTTTCGTATATGTACCGTTGTGTTATTATTTTCAATAGCACGATTACGGCCACCATACTTGGATTATTGTTTGTATGTTGTGTCATTTCTTCTTTTACGGCCACTTCTGGTACTATGGCTATTCTTATTATTGTAAGCAGTATTATAATTACAGCTACAATGTTCACGACTACTACGATTCTTATTATCACTACTGCTTCTCTTACTACTACTACTACTACTACTACTACTATTGCTACGACTACTTCTCTTACGTCTACTCCGATTCCCACTCCCACCACTACGATTAAGACGATGACTACTACTATTTCCATTACTACTACTGCCACTACTACTACTACTACTACTTCTACTACTGCTACTACTACTACTACTACGACTGCTCCTATTACGTTTACCGCTATCACGACCACGACCGCTACCTTTACGAATGCTGCTACTAATACCAGTATTATTACTAAAGCGACTGTTTGAACTAATGCTACGGCTATTGTTACTGTTCTTATTGTTACTATTACTACTACTACTACTACTACTACTACTGCTATTTCTTCTTCTACTACTACTACTACTACTACCACTGCTGCTACTTCTGCTACTACTACTACTACTACTACTACGACTGCGTCGACTACAGCGGCTACTACTATACTACTTCTACTAGTACTAGTACTAGTACTAGAACTAGTTCAACTACTACTACTACTACTACTACTACTACTTCTACTTATATTGCTGCTACTACTAGTACCACTGCTGCTACGACTACGACTCCGATTACGACTACGACTACGAGTACGACTAAGACTACGACTACGAAGACTGCTACTACAACGACTACTACTATTACTACTTCTGGTACAGCTACGACGACTGATTCGTCACATCAGCAAGCAATCACGAAGAGTTGGCTCTGCGGGTAGCCGGGGCTATCGTGATGCGAAATTTTGTTTGTATCCTTAAGAGATCGCATCTAGGTTTGAGATTGAAGCTCGACAGAATGTTGACGATCCCTGATAGTGTGCCACCCACAGAATCAGTCCTTCTGCCAGACTCATCCGGATCCCATCATGATCCAGAAGTCCACCTGGAGAACCAACAGTTTACCCAGAAATTCAACCCTGTTCCTGGATAACAGACCTCTCGCCCCCTCCCCCCTCCCAAATGCCCCCCCCCCCCAATCGCCCAACTGGAGCCGCAAACATTGACAAATACATGATTTTGGCTTTCTTGCCGATGCCATCTTGGGTCATCTTTGGCGCCCTGACACCTCGCGACCACCCCAAAAGAAAAGCTTCGGGGGGGGAGAGGCAAACCTGCCGGAAGGGAACAGGTTCTTGGAGGAGGATAAAATAACCAACCTAGCCCAAAGGGCTGGTCGGATTTATAACGATCAGGGATGGAGGAGGAGGAGGAAGAGGAGAAGGAAGAGGAGGAGGAGGAGGAATGATGAGGTTAATGAGGAAAGGCGAGGGAGGAGGAGGAGAAGAAGGAGGATGCAGAGCAGGAGGAGGAAGAGGAGGGGGATAATGAGGAAGAGGAGGAGGATGAGGAAGAACGGGGGAGGAGCAGGGGGAGCAGGGGGAGGAGGAGGAAGAGGCGGAATAGGAGGAGGAGGAGGAGGAGGAGGAGGAGGGGAGGGAGGAACACGGGGAGGAGGAGGAGGAATTAACGAACATATAGTAATATGGAGGAGGACGAATACTAATAACATACATTCGAAAACTCATACGATCAATAAGAAGACGCGTAATATTTGCAATCGTAGCAAGACGACTACTAATAAAAAAGCACGAAGCATACAAATAATACGAACATACGTTTAAACAGATTAATCATAATTCGAATGCGAAGAATAGTCATAATACGAATAATCATGCTCTTTTTTACTAACATATAAATAGTAGTGAGCACCAAACTAAGACGGCGATATTCACGAATAAGGAGGCTCACATGAATAACCATACGATCAGTATTGCATGTTTTCAAACCAATCTTAGGAATACCAATACGCATAATACTAAGGATAACGCGAGTACTAAGAAACACAAGACGAACAGTACTACTACGACTAACAATAATAAGACACATACTATGATACTAGGAATACGATTAATAACTACAAGGGTACAACTCATACTATGCATACCAAGAGTACGAATTACTCTAATGGTATTAATACTACGAATCCTAATGCTAATACTACCAACAACGACAATACAACTAACAATACTACGCACCATAACAGTACTAGTATCCAGAAGAAAACAACGACGTCAACAACAATACCAATTCTGTTATCATCATAATAAAGAGGAGGTGGAGGAGGTGAATCAGCAGGACAACTAGTATTAGGAGGAATCAGGCGTGGGCGAGGGATGACGGAGGAGGAGGAGTTGGATGAGGCGCAGGAGGGGTATTAGGACGATGCTGATTACGATCGTCCTAATGACAGTGATGGTGCTGATAATAGTGGTGCTGATGAATGGTATGGCGATAATGCTGAGGAGTGCTGATGATGAGGATGAATGATGATAAAGAGGGTGATTACGAGGACAAGCGTGAGTAGGAACTAGGAGTTCTCTGGTGCCCACCAGCCCGCAGGAGCCATGCTGGCCATCCCCGGAGGCATGGCCGGAGCGCCGCTGGTGCCCGGGCCATGGCTGCCGCCGGCCGCACCAGTCGAACCCCATCGCCGCTGCGGCCGTCGCTTCGACCATCCTGGATGCTCAATCCTGCCCCGAGCTCCCGTTGCGCCGCCTCCGCGGCCGTCGCAGCCGTGGTCGCCGCTGATGTCGTCGTCGTCGTCGTCGTCGTCGTCGTGGTCGTTGTCGTTCTCGTCGTCGTCATCGTCATCGTCGTCGTCGTCGTCATCGTCGTCGTCGTCACCGTCGTCGTCGCCGCTGTCGTCATGAAAGGCGTCGTCGCTGCTGTCTTCAGTGTTCCGCCCGCAGAGCTTGGATCCTCGATCCTCGATCCTCGATCTTCAATCCTCCATCCTCGATCCTCCATCCTCGGTCCTCCATCCGTCGTTGGTGTCCTCGATCCTCTATCTTCGATTCGATAGTCCGGTCACACAGCAAGACGCCAGATGGCTTTCGTCAGGGTGTCTCGGGCTTCCTCCCGTCAGCGTGCCGCGCGGCGAGACTCCCTGCGGTCGTGAGGCCGTGCTGTTCGGGGCGGTCTGAGTTTCCCCCCAGTTTGGCCTCGCGCGCGCGGGTTTGATGTGTTGGGTGTATTGCGAGGGTTTCTTGCTGCCGCGTCCACGCCACTCCGCTCGGGATCCACCAGCCAGGGGCCCCCGAGACGCGAGGCGAGGGAGGAGGAGGGGAGCGAAGAGAAGCCAGTCGTCGGGTGGGGCGGGGTCGCGGAAAGCTCCGAAGGGCTGGCGGCGACAGCTTCGGGCGGGGGGGGGGAGAAGAACAAGCTACACAAACATATGGACTTTCGGAGGAGGTGCGCGCGGCGATGTCTCCTCCCTTCTCCCCCGCTGCAGGTGCAGCCCACCATCGGGCCGGCGATGCCGTCGGCCTTGAAGGCCTCCCAGATGACTGCCGCCCAGGCCCGTGTTCGCCCGCGCGCGCCAGAAGCGTCGCCGTCGGCTGAGGCATGAAGGAGGAGGAGGAGGGAGGAGGAGGAAGAGGAGGAGGAGGAGGGTTGGGGAGGAGTAGGGGGGGGGGATGAGGATGAGGATGAGGAGGAGGAAGATGATGATGCTGATGGTGATGATGGATACTGATGATGCTGATGAGGATGATGATGGTGATGTTGATGATGATGATGATGATGATGATGATGATGCTGATGGTGATGGTTATGATTACTATGATGATGACGATGATGATGCTGATGATGGTGATGATGCTGACGATGATGATGATGATGAGGATGATGGTGATGGTGAATCTGATGATGCTGCTGCTGATGATGCGGATGATGAGTCTGATGGTGATGGTGATGTTGATGATGCTGATGCTGATGATGATGAGGTTGAGGAGGAGGAGGAGGAGGAAGAATACTAATCTTTCTCTTATTCGTAACAGTGATACTAGCAAGTGCAATACCGTTAACAATGATAACACTACTACTGCTTGTTATAAGAGCAATAACAACACACACACTACGCATAATCATCGCACTACGAATAATATGGAGACTGGCAATACGACTAATCGTAATACTAGGAAGATTAATCGTCGCAGAACTACCCGTAATTATGCTAATAACCATACTACCAATACTAAACACAAACACGAGTTAATGATGATAAGAGTAGTCAGAAGACAACTTAGAAAACATACTAATCATATACAGAGGAGGGGGAGGAGAGGAGGAGGAGGAGGAGGAGGAGGAGGAGGAGGACGAAGAGGCGAAGAAGGAGGAGGAGGAGGAGGAGGAGGAGGGGGGGGGAAGGATAAGGGGGGGATGAGGGTGATGATGATGATGATGATGATGATGATGATGATGATGATGATGATGATAATGATGATGATTGATGATGATGATGATGATGATGATGATGATGGATGATGATGATGAGATGATGATGATGATGATGGATGATGATGATGATGATGATGATGATGATGATGATGATGATGATGATGATGAGATGATGATGAGATGATGATGATGCTGTGATGATGATGATGATGATGATGCTGATGATGATGATGATGATGATGATGATGATGATGATGATGATGATGATGATGATTGATGATGATGATGATGATGCTGCTGCTGCTGCTGCTGATGATGATGATGATGATGATGATGATGATGATGATGATGATGATGATGATGATGATGATGATGATGATGATGATGATGATGATGATGATGATTGAGTGAGGAGGAGGAGGAGGAGGAGGAGGAGGAGGAGGAGGAGGTCGGTCGGTGGTTCACAGATTTGCAGCAGTCTGCGCGCCGTCATGTTAAAGGCTCTCGGCCGCCACCCTCCCCAGCGAAGGGTGGCCCAGCCCTGAGCCCTAGGCGGCCTGACGCACAGAAACGAGATGGTAACGGACGGCACTAAACGCTAGAAGCGACTGTGCGGAAAGTTGAGGAGATGTGCAGTCGGCCTGGGGGGAATGTGAAGGAGAACGCCAGCTCATCATCACAGAGGGTTAAGAGGACCGCTCATCATCAGTGCAGGTGGCAGGACAGCGAAACATGTTAGCAGTCACACGTGCTGGCTCGCCCCATAGCCGCTTCACACTCCACCTTCGGTGACTCCTGGGGTGTGCGCTGGCCCGGCGCCCTGGCCCCAGCCCCAGGAACAAACTGCGGCGCCCCCCCCCCTCTCCCATCCCCCGGGAGAGTCGCCCCGGCAACCCCCTTGGCAGAGCTGCTCAGGCCGTAGCTGTTTCAAACTCACACGCCAGATCGGCGGACTTGTTCCCGACCATTCTGTGGTGTTGGGGCCTCGTTTTGAAGAGACAGCGCCCCGCGTCCTCTCCTCTCCTCTCCTCTCCTCTCCTCTCCTCTCCTCTCCTCTCCTCTCCTCTCTCTCCTCCTCTCCTCTCCTCTCCTCCTCTCCTCTCTCTCCTCTCCTCTCCTCTCCTTCCTCTCCTCTCCTCTCCTCTCCTCTCACTCTCCTCTCCTCTCCTCTCTCTCTCCTCTCCTCCTCTCCTCTCCTCTCCTCTCCTCCTTCCTCTCCTCTCCTCTCCTCTCTCCTCTCTCTCTCTCCCTCCCTCTCCTCCTCCTCTCCTCTCCTCTCCTCCTCCTCTCCTCTCCTCTCCCTCCTCTCCTCTCCTCTCCTCTCCTCTCCTCCTCCTCCTCCTGCCTCTCCTCTCCTCTCCCTCCCTCTCTCCCTCCCTCCCTCCCTCCCTCCCTCCCTCCCTCCCTCCCTCCCTCCTCCCAGCCGTGCCTATGCCCTCGGCATGTCCACTTCGGCACAAGCTTCGCACGTTTCGTGGCCCCGTAGGGAGCTTCTCCGAATGCCCCTCTTGCAATGTTCGCATGTGGTCCCCCGCCCATTTCGACACACCCCTCACACGTTTCGTGACCCCACAGGGAGCTCCACCGAAGGTCACAGTGGCAGTACTCGCATGCGGTTCCCAGCCAGATGCGACACACCCCACCCACGTTTCGTGGCCTCATAGGGAGCTCCACCGAGGGCCCCAGTTGCAGTGCTCTCATGCGGTTCCCCGCCTACTTTGGCACACCCCTCACAGGTTTTGTGGCCCCAGCCACCGGAGGCCCCAGTGGCAGGGTTCGCATACGACTCCCAGCCAATTGCGGCACACTCCTTAAACGTTCCGTGGCCCCGTAGGGCGTTCTACCAAAGGCCCCAGTGGCAGTGCACACGGTTCCCCACCCAATTTCGGCACACCCCACCCACGTTCTGTGGCACCACAAGGAACTCCACCTAAGGCCTCAGTTGCAGGGTTCGCATGCGGTCCCCCGCCCATGTCGGCACACGCCTCACGCCCCAGAGGGAGCCCCACCGGAGGCCCCAGTGACAGCGCTCGCATGCGGTTCCCTGCCGATTTCGGTACACCCCTCACACGTTTCGTGGCCTCATTTGGAGCTCCACCGAAGGCCCCAGTGGCAGTGCTCGCATACGGTTTCCTTTAAATTTCGGCACACCCCTCACACGCTCACACGTTTCGTGGCCTCAGAGGGAGCTCCACCGGAAGCGGTGCCACATCGCGGACTCCACATCTGCAAATGGTTGGGTCCTTCGCCAGGATGATTTGCAAGTGTGTGTGTGCGTGTGTGTGTGCGTGTGTGTGTGTGTGTGTGTGTGTGTGTGTGTGTGTGCGTGCGTGCGTGCGTGCGTGTGTGTGTGTGTGTGTGTGTTTGCTGCCGCGAGCGGCTCGCTGGCTAGCCCCTCGGTCCTGACCTCCTTGCACCACTCAGCCGCTGTGCGCTCGAATACCTGGCAGCATGGCCTTTTGACGAAAACTTGGGTGCCTCCCTCACTCGCTCGCCTCTCCACCCTGCACTGGTTCGACTTGTCCTACGCCTCCAGCGCCGGCAGCCTTTGCCTCAGCCACTGGGAGTGGGCGCGACGCCGCTCCACGTCCACTGCCAGGACGCCTCAGCAACGGCCAGCCGCACCGGCCACTTATGCCGAACACCTTCGTGCTGTGAGTGCCCTCCCCGCCTCCTCTCGCTCCGCGGCCGCCCTCCTGCCTTGTCTCTGTCTGTTGCAGCCGGACAGTCAGTACGCTCCGTTCCAGCTACTAGAGCGCGCGAGCGGCTTGCCTCTGCCGCGCCGCGACGAATACATATACCGATGTCTTCCCCAATCAGTGCTTGCACTGGAGGGATCCTAGCGGAGGTTGAAGGATTTGGCGAAACTTTCCCGCCGATTTTGGTCGCACGCTGGGTTCCCAGGTTCCCGGTTCCGGGTTCCTTGATTCCCGGTTCCCGGGCCGATTTCGGTGGGCGGCGAGGTTCTCAGGTCCCTTGGTTCTTGGTCGATCTTTTTACCGATCGGTCTCAGCATCGATACCATTTCCCACCCCACCTCTCTATCGATCTCACCATCGATCCCAAAATCGATTTCGCAAGCGATCTCATTACTTTGAGAAGCTCCAAGTACACCTGAGAAAACCCAATCAGTTGATGATTTGAAAGTTGTGCTATGGGTTTTGATATCGATTGTGAGATCCATAATGAGATCGATCGTGGAATCGATGGTGAGGACGATTGTAAAGGTCGATCGTGAGACCGAGAAGTGAACTTGATTCTATGAGATCGATAGTGAGATCGATCGTGAGATCGTTCATGCGATATCTGGTGAGATCGATAGTGAGATCGATAGTGAGATCGATTGTAGGATCGATGGTGAGATCGAGCGAGAAGTGGGAACTGAGATCGATAGTGAGACCGATCGATAAGAAAATCGACCAGGAACCCGGGAACCGGGGAACCTCGCCGCCTTCCGAAATCGGCCAGGAATTCGGAACCAGGAGCCCGGGAACCCGGGAACCCAGCCTGCCACCAAAATCGGGAGATCGGTCGTGGAATCGATCGAGGACGATGGTAATGTCGATCGTGAGACCGAGAGTGAAATTAATTGAATGAGATCGATCGGGAAATCCATCGCGAGATCGCTCGTGCGATCTTTTCGCGAGATCGATTGCGAGATCGATAGTGAGATCGTCTGTGAGATCGATGGTGAAATCGATAGAGAGGTGGGAAATGACATCGGTGCTGAGACCGATCGATAAAAAGATCGACCGTGAACCCGGGAACCTGGGAACCTCGCCGCCCACCGAAATCGGCCCGGGAACCAGTAACTCAGGAACCCGGAAGTTGGAACGCGGCAACCCAGCGTGCGACCAAAATCGGCGGGAAAATTTCGCCAAATCTTTCAACCTCCGCTGACCCCTTCAGTGCAAGCGCTGATTGGGGAACTAGAGATCGCACGAGCGATCCCGCGATCGATTTCACTATTGATCTCATTGAATCGATTTCACTCTCGGTCCCACGATCGACCTTGCAATCGTCCTCTATCGATTCCACCATGGATCTCGTTATCGATCTCACAACCGATTTCAATATCTCAAATCATCCACTGATTGGGTTTTCTCAGGTGTACTATTTCTCTCTCTCTCTCTCTCTATATATATATATATGTTTGTGTGTGTGTGCGTGTTTGTGTGTGCGACTGTGTTTTGTTCCCCAATCAGTACTTGCACTGAAGGGTCCTAGGTGATCTTGAAGGATTTGGCACAGGTGGGCAGCCGATTTCGGTGGACGTTCCCAGATTCCCAGTTTCGGGTTCTGGGGTTCCTGCTTGCTGGTTCTGGGCCGGTTTCGGTCGGCGGTTTGGATCCCAGGTGGCGGCTGGGTTCACCAGTTCCCGGGTTCCCAGTCCCGGGCTTGTTTCGGTGGGCGGCCGGGATCCCGGCTTCCTGTTTCGGGGCTCCGGGTTGGTTTTGGTGGTCTGTTGGGTTTGAGGGTTCCCAGTTCCCGCTTCCAGGGTTCTCGGCAGAGTAAAGCTGGTTGGGCTCCCAGGTTCTCAGTTCTTGGTTCTGGCATCTTGGTATGATGCCGGCCTGGAAAAAGTACATGCGAATTCCCATACGTAAGCGTCCATGTATCAAATCGTAGAGGAAGGGAGATGGATACGGAATGGTTACGCGCATGTATGTATGTGTATATGTATGTATGCATGCGAGTATGTACATGCATGCATTTATGTATGTATGCATGCATGCATGCATGCATGTAGGTATATATCTTTGTATGGATCGGCATAAGCATAGAGCTGTGAATATATGTGCATACACACATATATATGTATGTATATATGTATATATACATACATGTAAGTATAAGCGCACATATGTACACACATACATACATACATACATGCATGCATGCATGCATGCATGCATGCATGCATGCATATATATATATATATGCATATAATACATAGAAAAATTCATCCATCCATCCATCCATACATTTATGTGTATGTATGTATGTATGTGTATGTATGTATGTATGTATGTATGTATGCATATGCATGCATGCATGCATGCATGCATGCAATGTATGTATGTATGTATGTATGCATGCATGCATGCATGCACATATATATATATATATATATATGTATATGTATATATATATGTATATATACCAGGCTGCTGGCGGGGGGGGCCGCCAGCTGCCCCGCGTCGCCATGGGCGCCCTGGGCCTCTGGGGGGCGTCACGGAGGAGCCCAGAGCGGCCCCTGCTCACCACAATGGCAAACCAAGACGCCCAAGACAGCCCGCAGACAGCCCAGGATGCTTCCAAGGAAGCCCCAAGGGCCGCTTGCATTGCAGGAGGCCTTTGGATGGATTTTCACGGGTGTGCGTGTCCAGCTCCGGTGCAATCCGAAGCCGCCCCAAACGCCTTCGATTTCGCTCTGAGACTGCCCAGGAAAACTTCAACACTGCTCAAAAACAGCCCCAGAGGGCCCACAGACCTCACACAAACCTGCCAACCAGCCCCTCAGACCTGCCCGACGCGATCCAAGGAGCCCCTCCTTGCCAAAATAGCGACCCAAAATGCCCAAGACAGCCCCCAGACGGCTTAAGATACGTCCAAGACGCCCCAGGAAGCCGCCGAAAATCTGCCCAAGAGGGCCCCCAGGGCCGAATTCCATGCATTTCGCAAGGTTTTTGCATGATTTTCACATGTGCCAGCTCCGGTGTAATCCGGAACGGCCCCTGGCGCCTTCCACTTCGCTTTGAGACGGCCCAGGAGGCTTCTAACAGGCCCGAAAACAAGCCCGGATGGCCTCAAGAGGGCCTCTGGCCCGAAGCTGCCAATCAGCCCCCCCCGAACGCCAAACACGATCCAGGGATGCCTCCCTTCGCCAAGATAGCGACTCCAGATACCCAAGACAGCCTCCAAGCACCCCATATGCCTCCAAGACGCCCCAATAAGCCGCCGCGCCGACAACATGCCCAAGGAGCTTCGAGATCCGAATCCCGTGCATTTTACTACGGTTTGTGAGCAATTTCTGCTGGGGCTCGAACGGCCTCGAGCTCGCTCTCACCAGGCGGCAAACGGCCCCAGAGGCTCCTAAGACGACCCACGAAGCCGCCGTGAAGCCCCCCAGATTTGTCCAAAGGGCGCCGGTGGCAGTCCGCGCGGCGAGGTGCCGCTGCACCTCGCTCTTGGCACTGTGGCTTGTGCAATGCAAAAAGAATGGGAGGGGAGCGGGCTAACGGTCCAAAGAGCCTCCCTTTCGCCCGCCGTGGCGCCCCCGAGGCCTGTCCAAAGTGGTGCGGAGAGGCCCCCCGCTCGCCAGCATGGCGACGCAAGACGCCCACGACAGCCTCCGAAGAACCCAGGGTGCCTCCAAGACGCCCCAAGAAGCCCCAAGACGCCCCAAGAAGCCCGCCCCAAGAAGCTGGGGGGTTGGCCTGAGGGATTGGCTAGGGGGTCTGGACGGTGCCACCGCGATTATTCGCGCGATTCTTCCACTGATTGTGTTCGTTCGGGCAAGGGTCCGAATCAAGAGTATCTTAGGGCAATCCGCTGCGGACAGCGCATTTTGACAGCATCCGCATGCGTCTCCCCCGTGTAAAAAAAAGAAGCCCGCTGCAAACTTCCCAACAGCGCCTCAAGACGGCCGAGGAGGGCCCCGAGACAAGCCAGGAGGCCCCCACGACGGCCTGAGAGGGCCACGCGAGGCTTCCGAGGCAGCTCCCACAGGGCCCCAAGGCACCCCCATGAAAACCCATTCACGCTCAGACCCGCCCATGACGGCCCAGGGACACGCTGGGACGACGACGACGAGGACGTCCACTAGGACGAGGACGAGCCTCAATGAGGTTCGGAACCGTCATGTTTCGTGCGTCGCAAATCGTTGGGGCCTCAACTAGAAACACGCGCGCGCTCCCCCCAGAGACCACACAGACGGCCACGGAGGCCCCAAAAGAAAGCCAAGACTGTTCAAGAGACGGCCCAAGCGGGCCCCAAGGGCTCCCAAGACAGCCTCTCCAGGAGCCCAGGGTAGTCCCAAGTCGGCCCCAGTTATGTCCAAGTGGCCCAATCGAGAAGTGACAACGAAACGTGCCGCATGTGAGAGCTACCCTCTTCGTCGTTGTCCTCCTCCTCATCATGACCGTTGCCACCATCCTCGTCATCGTCCTCCTTTTGATCACCACCATCATCACCACCATCACCATCACCGTAATCATCTTCATATCGGCAGCGTAAGTCTCAGGACAGGCTTTCAGACATCACGTTTGCGGCCCCAGGTCACCAACATCATGCGCAATGCGGCACGAGGAAACTCACGCGCGAGCTCTTCCACTGCCGCCGCTCTTATGTTCCCGAACGAGCAAACCCGTTGTTACAACCGCACCTCGCTCAAATGCCATCGTGTGGCTCGGGTTCGAGTGTTTCACGCCTTTGTCATTCACAGCTTCGTATTGCAGTTTCTGGCTGTGCTGCCAGGGCCGCTTCACAGAACACATACCCGTTGCAGAGAGCGTGTCTCCCTGTTGAGTCTAGAATGCGTTCGTGGTTGGACAGTTTTGGTTCCATTTTTCCTTTGGTCTCTCTTCTCCGCCAGAGCTGTTCGATCGCCCGCACAATCCCGATCCACATGCGAGGGGTCGCCGCTGTTTGGCCCGAGCGTCGACACATGTCTTGATATTGCATGGGGTGTTGAGCCGTGCGTGCAGCATCTTATTGCCGCCATGCTTTCTTCCGAACAGCTTCCCCCCCGCAGTTCTAGTTCCTCCTCCTCCTCCTCCTTCTCCTGCCCCTTCCCGCCGCCCCCCCTCCCTTCCCCTCCCCCCCCGCTCCCCTTCGCCCCCTCCATGTCTCCCGCCCCCGAAGCCCCGAGGCCGCCGCCGTGGGCGCGGTGATGTCCTCCAAGTCCTCGGAGGGGCAGCGGCGGCGCTCGCGCCTTTGGGGGGGGGACCGGTCGCCGCCGCCCGTCGTCAGCGGATCGCGGCGGCGGCGGGGAAGAGACGTGGACTGGAAATGGAGGAGGAGGAGGAAAGGGAGGAGGACCAGTGTAAACCCAACGATGTTGGGAATAACCCTCTCTCCAAGCTCCTTCTTCATAGGCCCCTACAACGGCTCATGTCCACTGAAGGAGTTGCACTGTTAGAAACCGTTTGACGACCCAAAAATCAAAGCATTCTTTTCGGGACTCTAACGCCACGGATCAACCTGACTGATGCGTCTTGACGGTCCTCAATCGTGCCAGGACGCCATTCCTGGGACTTCAACACCGCGAATCAACGTAAGTGTGTCGCCTGTATAATCATAATTATTTCCAGAACACCATTTCCTGTAGGTTGATCGTGGGAACCCGCCGGATTTTTGCAAATTTCAGAAACGAATGTGCGCGGCGCTGAAGCGATAGCCGCATTTTGAAGAGAGATCCGCCTTCAATCCGTCAAACGCTTTGCATTTTTTTCAAGCGAGTGTGCGCGGCATTGAGGCGATAACCGCATTATGGAAAGGAACCGCCCTCAATCCGTGAAGCCCTTGCACATTTCTAAAATGAATGTGCGCGGCGGTAAGGCGAGAGCCACATTTTGAGAACCACACGCCCTCAATTCGTCAAGCTTTTGCGCATGTTTAAAACGAATGCGCGCGGCGCTGAGGCGAGAGCCACATTTTGAAAACGACCCGCCCTCATTCCGTGAAATTCTTGTAACATTTCAAAACGAATGTTTTCGGCTTTAAGGCGAGAGCCACATTTTGGAAACGACTCGCCCTCAATCCGTGAAGCCCTCGCAGTTTTTTCAAACGAATGTGCGTGGTGCTAAGGCGAGAGCCACATTTTGAAAACCACCCGACCTCCATCCGTGATGCTGTTGCCATTTTCTAAGTTTCACAGTCATAAGCGGTGAGGAAGTCTCAAGCGACACGCCGGGCCCGCCCTAACAACAAACCTCGAGGTGCGACAGGGAGAAGGAAGAAGAGGAACATGGGGGAGGATGAGGAGGAGGAGGAGGAGGAGGAGGAGGAGGAGGAGGAGGAGGGGGAGGAGGAGGAGGAGGAGGAGGAGGAGGCGTAAAAGGAGGATGGGGAGGAGGAGGAGGACGAGGAGGAGGAGGAGTAGGAGGAGGAGGAGGCAAAGGAGAGGGAGGACGAGGAGGAGGATGAGGAGGAGGAGGAGGAAAAGGCAAGGCGGTTTGCGGCTGTGCAAGTTGGCTATGTGACGATTCCAGAGAGCGTTGCGTCTATTGCCACCCCCTCCGTTGCGCCAGCCGCTCAGAAGCAGGTGGGCGGAAGCATTCAGAGAAACCATGTCAACAATGAGATCGGACATTGGGATACAAACGAACATTATCATGCTGGAGGTTAGATTGGCTCTGGGTGTATTGCCAGAGCCAGCGCTTGTGGCAAGATTGGGTTCTTCGTGGCTCGAATGGTTATTTCAACAAGATCTCCTCGAAGGGAAAGGGGACATTCAACGGATCAACAGGAAAGAACTGACGTCATATACACTTTTGACATCTATTGGGCATCGAGTTTATTCCGGCGACTGATGACTAATGATGGGGGGCTTTCGTTTTAGTCGTCCGCCTACGTGAACATATGTACATGACCACGACAATTCACGAGTTCATCTTGCACTGTTCGGCGGCTAAATGATAGGTCGTATCGGGAGCAATAGCTCAATCTTGTACATCATGCTGAGTTGGCGCGCTGTGTTATGCGCGGGATACGTCAGTCTGCTTCGGCCCGCTGCAAGGATTTACTAGGAGTGGTGGCGACCCCGTTCCGTGCGCTGTGACATTTTTTGCGGGGTTTGGCGCCGGGGGGGCCAATGTGCGTGGGGATTGCCCGAATTGTGGCAACTCCGACGGGAACTGTTGTAAGGCCTGCGCATCCTGCCGCGGGGGGAGTTGAGATGCAGCTCCTTCACTGCCCGCTCTCGCCGCCGCCGCCGCCGCCTTGCTGCCGCGTGTCCAGTGACCGTTGCCAGTCGCAGCTGTCGCTTGTGAGCATGTGCTGCAGCTGTTTGGGCTGCGAAGTGACAGCTGGAGCGCGCATCCTCCTCCCTTTTTCGGGCAGTAGCTACTGCTCAACGGGTTACTGTTGAGGAGCCATGGCAACCATTAGCGTTCCAACCGCTGGGAGTGGATATCAGCGTAGCGTCACAAGACAAGGCAATATACCAATGGATATGTCAGAACCTGTTGGAATTCGAGCAACTAATTACGTAGCACCCCGCAGATGTGGATAAGAGTGAAGGGGGCGGTAGGGGCGTCGGCAGTGCGAGACTCTGGAGAAGCCCGCCGCAGGCGCCAAAGTTTCACACATTATACAACGAGCCCGCCGCAGGCGCCGTTTTTTGCTGTTTTTTTTCCCCCCCTCAAGCCATCTTAGATCGGTCGCGGGTGGGTCGCGGGGTGGGTCGCGGGTGGGTCGCGGGTGGGTCGCGGGGTGGGTCGCGGGGTGGGTCGCGGGTGGGTCGCGGGGGGGGCGACGACAACAAACATTAACAGCAGCAGCAGCAGCAGCAGCAGCAGCAGCAGCAGCAGCAGCAGCAGCAGCAACAACAACAACAATGCAACACAATCTTCACCGCGGATTCTCACTTCAGCCACGCACCCACGGATAATGAAAGACCGTTCGGCCCCCTCGCTCTGATAATGGAGGCAGGGGAAGGAGGAGGAAGAGGAGGAGGAGGATGAGGAGGAAGAGGAGGAGGAGGAGGAGGAGGACTAGGAGGAGGACTAGGAGGAGGAAAGAGAGGAACAGGAAAAGGACGAGTAGGAGGAAAAGGGAAAAACTGAGATGAGGTGAGCTGATTTACTACAGATCTGAGGTGAGGTGAGCTGGGTGAAGGTGGTGGAAAGAGAGAAGGGAGGGATTGAGGTGAGGGGAGTCGGGTTGAGGACGGCAGGGGGGTCGGAGGGGAGAGAGAAGGGGGGACAGGCCCCGCAGAAGGCGGCGGGCACGCTGCTGCGCAAGGCCCCCGCTCCGCCCTGCTGCCCTGCTCCCGGCTGTCATGGCGGGCGCCGCTCCGTCGCTCGCCGTCCTCCAGACGGGCGCGTGTCCGCGGTTCGGTCGGCCGGTTTCCGGTGCGTCGTGGTCGGCCGCATTGGGTGGGTTCGCCTCGGTCGGTGGGTGCGCCGTTGCGTCCTTCCGGGTCGAGCCCTGTTTCGCCGTCGGGCTGGTCGGTGTTCGGTCGCGTTGTCGCCGTGGGCGGCCCGGGCTCCAGGATGGGTTTCGCCTTCCAGGGGCCGAGAAATCGATGTCCCTTCCTCGGCGGGGAGCGGCGGAAGGCTGCTGGCGGACGCATCGGAGGCAAGAGGGCGGCTCCGCCGGCGAAGGTCGGTGGAAGCCGGCGCCAGCAAAAATTGCTTCCAAGAAGTGTATTGTTTTGTTGGGTGCACGATTTCTGGAGCCGGCCAAATGGCTCTTGAGGGAAATGGGGGCCTGAGGTTTTCCATCCTTTTCGGCTCTATGGGGCAGTCCTTGGGCCCGACCACGGGGCACTATGGGTCCTTGGGCGTCCGAGCGTATTCGCCGTCAGATAGCGATTCAGGATGAAGAGCCGATTCGACATCTAGTGCCTGTTTCCGTCAGGACCCCCAATAGAGCCGAATTTGGGAATGTACGAGTTCTTTAGGGCCCGTTGCCCTCATGGCCCCTCTGCCCTTGGTGCATGGCAGGACAGAAACTGTTAGCTCTCTATGTCAGAGGCCAGCAACATATGTACACGTACGCGGTTAGCTTCCCCTGGAGGGCATTTGAACGAGGACGTTCGTGCACTCAAGATCGCGGAGGGCGTACATGTACATATGTCGTTGCTCGCTCACTATGGGGTTCTGGGTGGTCGCAGACGTCAGAGGAGAAACAAGGGCCACCACCACCGAAAATCCGCTGTGGGGCGACCCCTGGGCGGTGGCATGCCCGAGAGTCACGCAGCACCGCAACACGCTCAGGCGTGCCACCGCGCAAGGGCAGGTACCCTTCGGTGGGTTCTCGGTGGCGATTGTTTCTGTTCCCCCCCTGCAGCGGAGCATGGTTGTTGGTGCAAGTGGTTCGTTCGGTTATTTGGAGCTGGCCCTCTGGGGGCCTCGGGGGCGCCCGTGGGGGCCTTCGGCCGGGTGCCCCCAGGGCCCTCGGAGGTCTCTAGAACCCTCCAGGGGTACCTCGAGAAACCTCCAAGAGATCTCCAGAGACGGAGATGGAGGAGGAGGAGGAGGAGGAGGACGACGACAAGGATGAAGGCTGCGTATATGGAGTTGCGTAGTCAGGTGGCTGCGCCGTCTGAGACATGTCAATTCTCGACGCTCCGCGTGTTCCCGCCAGCCCATATGTCGTCCCGATCGCGCTGAGCGTACTACAGTGCTGCGGCTCCAAAGCCCCCCAGCTCATCCACACTCGATCTCCACGCGAACTGTCGTGAGAAGGGTAGTGGGTGCAGATCCTATAATACCTCCCGGAACTCAGCTTCCAGACGCCCAGGACCTTATGACTGATGCAATGGGATCAGGGAAGGGGTAATCACCTCACGGTGGCAATTCTTCGAATGGGCGCGGGAGGCCATTACGTGCGAAAGTTCGTGACCGCAGGCTTGGAAGAGCAGTAATGGGGGTAGTGAGGATAAGGATGATAATGAGGATGACGATGATGATGCTGATAATAATGCTGACGATAATGAGGATGATGATGATGGTGATGATGATGCTGCTGATGATGATGCTGATGTTGAATATGATGTTGTTTATGATGGTACTCATAGTGATGATGATGCGTATTGTTTACTACTGATTCTGATGATGATGGTGATGACTGCGGTGGTGGTGGTGATGGTGATGATACTACGGATCATTATGACGATGATGATGCTGATGTGGATGAGGATGCCGATGATGATGACGACGATGGTGATGGTGATGATGTCGACGACGATGACGATGATGATTCTTACAATGACGATGATGCTGCTGTTGGTGATGCTGATAATGCTGATGATGACGATGATGCCGCTGATGATGATGATGATTCTGATGGGGGACATGATGATGCTAATGCTTCTGATTATGATGACGATGATGCTAATGATGATGCTGATGATGATGCTGATGATTATGACGATGATGATGCTGCTGCTGATGCTGCTGCTGCTGATGATGATGCTGATGAGTATGCTGATGCTGATGATGCTGAGGCTGATGATGATGCCGATGCTGATGCTGCTGATGATGAGTGCGACGAGTGTGCTGACGATGCTGATGCTGATGCTGATGATGCTGCTGATGATGACGATGATGCTGATGCTGATGCTGATGCTGCTGATGCTGAAGATGACGATGATGCCGCTGATGATGATGATGATGATGATGCTGCTGATGATGATGATGATGAATCTGACGATGAAGATGATGATGATGCTGATGCTGCTGATGATGATGCTGATGATGTTGACGATGCTGATGCTGATCATGACGATGATGATGATCATCATGATGATGAGGATGAGGATGATGAGGATGCTGCTGATGATGATGATAATGATGATGCTGAGGATAATGATGATGATGGTGATGATGATTCTGATGATGATGATCATGATGATGATGATGATGATGATGATGAGGATGATGATGATGATGATGATGATGATGATGATGATGATGCTGATGATGGTGGTGGTGGTGGTGGTGATGAGGATGATGATGATGATGATGGTGATGATGATGATGATGATGATGGTGATGGTGATGATGATGATGATGATGATGAGGAGGAGGAGGAGGAGGAGGAGGAGGATGAGGATGATGATGATGCTGATGATGATGATGGCGAGGAGGTGGAGGAGGAGGAGGAGCAGGAGGAGGAGGCGGAGGAGGAGGAGGTGCAGGAGGAGGAGAAGGCAGATTAAGGCCATCACATGTCACACCTTTCGCGGTTTTATTCCTTTGGGCTTTTTTTCCCTATCTAGGCTCTGCCTAGAAGGGTTCTTACTCTCTAGCTTAAGGGGCCGGGCAGTGGAAAGCGCCCCGGGCGGTTCCCCCAGTCCCCGCCCTGCGGTTCCCCCAGTCCCCTGGGAGCTTTAGCTTTAGCTTTAGCTTTACCGTAGCTTTAGCTTAGCTTTAGCTTAGCTTTAGCTTAGCTTTAGCTTAGCTTTAGCTTAGCTTTAGCTTAGCTTTAGCTTAGCTTTAGCTTCGCTTTAGCTTAGCTTTAACTTAACTTTAGCTTAGCTTTAGCTTAGCTTTAGCTTAGCTTTCGCTTAGCTTTAGCTTAGCTTTAGCTTCGCTTTAGCTTAGCTTTAGCTTAGCTTTAGCTTAGCTTTAGCTTAGCTTTAGCTTAGCTTTAACTTTGCTTTAGCTTAGCTTTAGCTTCGCTTTCGCTGAGCTTTAGCTCAGCTTTAGCTAAGCTTTAGCTCAACTTTAGCTTAGCTTTACCTTAGCTTTACCTCAGCTTTAGCTTAGCTTTAGCTTAGCTTTAGCTTAGCTTTAGCTTAGCTTTAGCTTAGCTTTAGCTTAGCTTTCGCTTAGCTTTAGTTTAGCTTCAGCTTAGCTTTAGCTTAGCTTTAGCTTAGCTTTACTGTTACTGCTAATGCTGCTTTCCTAGGGGCTCCAACTCCTAGGTAGGGTCGCACTGGGATAATGGATTTCTTGGGCTGGCGGAAACCAGGTTTTAACTTCAAATCGTCAAATACCTTAGCGATGCACCTGGCTTTAACTTCTTCAGGCCTTATTGTGCTTCCTCTTGTTAGTTGCTCTTTTGGAGGCATCTTGGGCCGTGTTGGGGACATCTTGGGCGGCCTTGAGGCCATTTTGGGCAGACGTTGGGCCATCTTGGCGGCCTTGGTTGCCTGCCTGTTCCGTCTGGGAAGCTCGGGGCGCGTTTCTTCAGTTCTGTCTTAGGAGGGTTCGTGGCCTCGGGGGCGTGGCTCTACGAAGTCTCCACGGAGGGTCCGGGCCTCCGGAAGGGGGGCGGTGCATGCGACTGGATGCAAAGTGCTCACCCACCAGACAGCACTTGACATCCTACCACGCCTCAACGTGCCTGGGGGCACGGCGGCGGCTTCCCATCTGGGGGCGGTAGTCTGCACGGCTGCATGAGCAGGCGCTAATGTGCACAGCACAGGAGAGGAGCCAGAGGGCCTGTGTCGATGGCCACTCAGGGGCAGCACCGCTTTTGGAAGCAGAAGGTTGCACGTTTCCCATGTTTCGGCGGCGAGCGAAGGGGGGAGGTGAGAAGGAGAAGGTCTTCTCAGAAGGCGGCTAGACTTCTCAGAAGCCCTCGCGCCTTCTGATAAGTTTTTGCGTCTTCGGAGAAGGCTTATAATACTTCTCAGAAGGCCGGGGGACTTCCGAGCCTTCTGATAAGGCCCGCCCCTTCTCACTTCCTCCAGGGCTCGCCGCCGAATTTTGTGTGCGCCGGAGCCGCTCACTGACGTATGTCTCATGCCAGGGATCTTATCGCACTGCTGCAGGTCGCAGCTCTTTCGCAGAGGCGGGGGTGGTTGAAGAGGCCTCAAGGTGTTTGGCGGAGGTAGGGGATTTGGATTCCTCTAACGCATGCTTCTGCCTGCGCTTCCTGTGTGAACGTGGCGGCAGATCGCGAACTCGATTCCTTTTCTCCCGGGAACGCACCAGAAGTCTTCGCGGTCCACTTGAGACCTCTCCTCCTGCTTGTGCTCCTTCCACTGCTGCTCCTCTTATTACTCCTTCCTCCCTCAAAGTCGACCCCCAGACCTCTCCTCGAGCGCATTCTGACGCGATGCCCAGGCGAATCCAGCAGTGGCGATGAGGGCGTTCGGAGGGAACAAGATCTCAACATGACCTTCGCCTGTGCGCCTGGCCCTCATCCTCCTTCCCGAGCTTCTCTTCTATCTCCACGTTCCTCCTGCTCCCCCTCCTCGTCCTCCCTCGCTCCCCTGCTGTTCTCCTGCTTCCCCGGAGAGGTGGCGGGCAGACTGCGGAGGAGCAGGATGCAGGGGTGTGAGGTGTGAGGGGGAAGAGGAGCGGAGGTGAAGTTGCCCTCAACTCTCTTCCTTCCTCCCCCTCCTCCTCCTCCTCCTGCTCCAGCTCCTGCTCCTGCTCATGCTCCTCCTCCTCCTCCTCCTCCTCCTCTTTCTCCGCCTCCTCCTCCTCCTCCTCCTCCTCCTCCTCCTCCTCCTCCTCCTCCTCCTCCTCCTCCTCCCCCTCCCCCCCCCCGTGTCTCTTCCCCTCGCCCTTTTTCCCCCCCGCCGCCTCTGGGGATTCGGCCGCGTCCAGAGAGGCGTCGGGCAAGATCTGGCGAGACCCCACGCTGGACGACTGGCCGAAGGACGACTACAGGCTGGCGACAGCCCCACGCGGAGAGAGCAGGGTCGTTCGGGCACAGCCTGGAGGCGGACGCCTATGTTGTCTGGTCAGACTGCCGCACGGCCCACGCGCGGCGGCTGCGTGCCTCCCTCCTCTGGAAGGGGACGCTGGAAACTCCACCCCTGTAGGAGGAAGAGGACGAGGAAGAAGAAGAGGAGGAGGAGGAGGAGGAGGAGGAGGAGGAGGAGGAGGAGGAGTGTACCCCCTGGGAAGCCTGGGCTCGTTACACGGAGGCAGAGGTGACAAGCGAGCCCGGCCTGGGCTGCCCACGGGGCCCTCCTTACAAGTACCTCCGTCGGATTCCCCTTGGGAGAGCCCGGGGTGGGGTGGGGAAGCTTCTCGCTGCGAAAATACGCACGACATGATTGATGTTAGAGGAATTGTTATTATAAGCAGCCGGAGGGGGCGCCCCCTTGGAGAGCCGGAGGGGGGGGGATTTTGCATTCGTTTCCGCTGTTTCTTATTGTTTTTGTTTTGCCCCGCAGGGCGCGTTTTTTTGTTTTGTTTGTTTGTTAATTTGATGCTCCGAATTCTGCACTTTATCGTTTTGCCTCGCAGAGCACTTTTTCCCCAAACCATCCTGTTGTGTTGGGTCCTCGTTTTGAAGAGGCAGCGCCCCCCGTTCCTCCCCTTCTCCTCCTCCTCTCCCTCCTCCCTCCTCCCTCCTCCCCCCCATCATCATCATCATCATCATCATCATCATCATCATCATCATCATCATCATCATCATCATCATCATCATCATCATCATCATCATCATCATCATCATCATCATCAGCATCATCAGCATCATCATCATCATCATCGTCATCGTCATCGTCATCGTCATCGTTATCGTCATCGTCATCGTCATCGTCATCGTCATCGTCATCGTCATCATCATCATCATCAGCATCAGCATCAGCATCAGCATCCTCGTCCTCGTCCTCGTCCTCGTCCTCATCCTCATCACCATCACCATCATCACCACCATCACCATCACAGTCATCACCATCATCATCATCATCATCATGATTATCATCATCATCTGCTTCTTTTCCATCATCAACATCATCATCATTCTTAGTATCATTAACAGTATCACTATCATCACAATCATCATCATCATCCCCACCCTCATCATCATCATCATCATCATCGTCACAATTGTCACCGTCGTCGTCATCATCCGTATCATCACCATCTCATCATCATCATCATCATCATCACCATCATCATCATCATCATCATCATCACCACCATCATCACCATCATCATCATCATCATCATCATCATCACAATCGTCACCGTCAGCGCTTCGTGGCTCCCCAGGGAGCTTTACCGAAGGTCTCAGTGGCGCAGTTCGCATGCGTCTCCCCCACCCAGCACAGCGTTCTGTGGCCCCAGGGGGAGCTCCACCGAAGGCCCAGTGGCGGTGATCGAATGCGTCTCCCCCACTCAGTATAGCGTTACGTGGCCCCAGAGGGAGCTTCACCGAAGGTCCCAGTGGCGCAGTTCGCATGCGTCCCCCCACCCAGTACAGCGCTTCGTGGGCCCCATGGGGAGCTTCACCGAAGGCCCCAGTGGCGGTGTCCGCATGCGTCTCCCACACTCAGTACAGCGCATAGTGGCCCCAGAGGGAGCTTCACACTAGGTGCCAGAGGCGCAGTTGCTATGCTTCCCCCACCCAGTACAGCGTGGCTCCAGAGGGGGCTCCACCCAAGGTCCCAGTGGCGCATTTCGTATGCCTCTCCCTCACCCAGTACACTGTTTCGTGGCCCCATCGGAAGCTCCACCGAAGGTTCCAGTGGCGCATTTCGTATGCGTGTCCCCACCCAGTACACTGTTTCGTGGGCCCATAGGAAGCTCCATCGAAGGTCACAGCGGCGCAGTTCGCCCCCAATAGGGGGGTCTCCAACGACGGCCCCAGTGGCGCAGTTCGCAGGTGTCTCCCCCTACCCAGTACAGCGTTCCGTGGCCCCATAGGGAGCTCCACCGAAGGTCCCAGTGGCGCAGTTCGCATGCGACACCCCCCACCCAGTACTGCGCTTCGTGGCTCCATAGGGAGCTCCACCGAAGGCCCTAGTGGCGCAGTTTGCATGCGTCTCCCCCATTCAGTACAGCGCATAGTGGCCCCAGAGGGAGCTTCACCGAAGGTGCTAGTGGCGCAGTTCGCATGCGTCTCCCCCGCCCAGTACAGCGTTTCGAGTCTCCAGAGGGGGTTCCACCGAAGGTCCCAGTGGCGCATTTCGTATGCGTCTCCCCCACCCAGTACACTGTTTCGTGGTCCCATAAAAGGGGCCCCACCGAAGGTCACAGCGGCGCAGTTCGCCGCCATAGGGGGCTCCAGCGAAGGTCCCAGTTGCGCAGTTCGCATGTGTCTCCCCCGCCCAGTGCAGCGCTTCGTGGCCCCATGGTGAGCTCCTCCGAAGGCCACAGCGGCGCAGTTGGCATGCGTCTCCCTAACTCAGTCGATCGCAATGCCTCAGCGCCGGCGGCGGACGACCGGAATACGCCAACGTCGACGGCGACTTCGCCAGCTGTCTTGCGCAACGACCCCTTCCTGCCATCCCTAGCGAACCATCCCCAACACCGCCAGCACCAGCCATCGACACCAGTGGCACCACCAACCTCACCATAATCCATAAGAATGCGAGGCCTTTGGAAACCGACGACCGCATCGAGGAGCTTATACGAGACGTACAAAGTTACCACTGGGATGCAATTCTAATCAACGAGACCTGGAGGACACAGCCAAAAGAGGTTCGGACTACAGTGGAAGGACATGCCTCCGCAGGGTCTGGGAACGACAGTCGCTGCCATGGAGTAGCAATTCTCTTACATAAGCGCTGGATCCGTCATATATTTGAGTTTCAGGCAATCAGCGCAAGACTGGCCACAATGACTGTTAAAAAGGGCGCATTCGATTACAGTTAGTTTCAGCATACTTTCCACACACTGGGTATCCGGACGCACACGTACAAACCACGTATGACGGGATTGGTGTTATGCTCAAGGAGGCCCGCGCCCGCAACGCAACGTACGGACCATGCTCGCAGCAGACTTCAATGCCCAGGTTGGTGCACGGCCGCGTCCAGACCCAGCACCGACGGGTGCTACAACGACCATCAGCGACGTTTCTTCTCGTTGTGTGGGACCCCACGGGCACGGCGACGAGGACTCCAGGGGGCAGCGGTTGCGACATCGGGCCACGACCGAGAGGCTCGCCCTCGTGAGCACGTTCTTCCGCAAACCCCCACACACACGAACAGATTACTTACACCACGACCGCAGGCAACCCGCGACCATACGATTCCATACTGGTAGACAGACGCCTACTTCCTGTGTGCACTAACGCCGAGGCCACGAACATCGCAGACCTCAGCTCGGACCACAAGGCTGTCGTACTTCACATTCGCTTCCCGGCTCTACCGAACGGTATAACTACCCGCCGTCCAGGACATCCCACGTCACGGGCCGACACTTGCAGCGGTCATTGGGCACGCGTAGACTTCGACGAATACCGACGACACTTGGGTCTCCAGTTGCAACCGGCGGCACTTCCGACAGACCCGCAGGAGCTCAACCTCATCATCGAGAAGAGCCTGTGCACCTCCACAACTCACGGAGCTGCCGCCGCGGCGGCGCCCTCACGAGCAGCCACGACCAACCCCAACCACGACGCCAAGCACCAGCAACACGACGACATCATCGAAGACCAGATCAAGCAGCGACAGAACACGCTTACTGCAAACAGCAATGCCCGACGAGCAATCAGCAAAAAGATACGGCAAAGCATTCGACGACAGAAGCGCGCTGACCAGAGGGAGCGAATCAGTACCATATTGGAGCAGTACAAGGGCCTCAAAAACGTCCGCTCCATCAAAACACTGCGGAGGAGGGTTCTAATTGCAGAGATGGCGGGGGCCTACGGCAGCAAGCAGACAACGAGGCAGGGGATAGCAGACCCATTTGCAGATTTTTGCCTTCAGTTGTACACTTCTTCCCGCAGCCTTGACCCCACGCCAACCGCAGCGCACAAGCCACCTGTGATTCCACCTTTCACGCCGACGGAGCTCACCGCAGCAATCTCACAGCTCAGGGCGGCAAAGCACCAGACACTAGTGGAAGTCGCGCTGAAATGCTTCAAAAACCAGGTCCAGAGCTCCAGCGTGCTTTACTACAGATGTACAACACCATCGTACAGGCAGACGCCCCTACGCTGGCCAGCTGGAGAAAGACCGTCATCACTGAAATCCCAAAGTCGGGCGATTTGACGCTTCCGCAGAAGTATCGCCCGATCTGCACAATACCGACATTGTATAAGCTTTTCAGCCGATCACTGTACAACAGGCTACAACCAACCCTAGAACGACAGCAACCCGACGACCAGGCGGGCTTCCGCCCTGGAAGAGGCACGCGTGACCACCTCTTTATTTTCAGTATTCTACGTGAAAGGGCAGCCGAATGGAAGCATACTCTGGGTTGCAGCCAGAGACTTCAACAAGGCTTTTGACACAGTCGAGCACGACAGCCTGTGGGCAGCTCTGATTCACCAAGACGTCACGCCTTGGTACGTAGACCGTCTACGACGCATGTACAATGACCAAACAACCGTGGTCCGCACCGACACAACAAGTAAAACGTTCGACCTCCAATGCGGCACAAAGCAAGGGGATCCACTGAGCCCATTGCTATTGAATGTATTACTCCAACACGTCTTAGAACCGCTGATCTCAGTTTGGCAGAGGACACACCAAGGCGTCCAGCTGGGACACACCGACGCGGCGACACTCACGAACCTTCGGTTCGCAGATGACATCTTGCTGACAAGCCAAACGCTGCCGAACCTAGAAGTAATGCTGTCCGACCTCATCACCGCAGCAAAACAACACGGACTGGAATTGCACCCGACCAAGACCAAAATCATGACCAATCAGCTTCGACACCGCGACCGAACACTTGAGGCAGCAGGAGTGGACATCGTCGCATTACCACGAACAAGCACCATCACCTACCTGGGCCAGACCATTACTTTCCACGACGCACCCGGAACCGAAATAAAACACCGGAGCCTAGCAGCATGGGCATGTTTCGGGAGCCACAGACAAGCACTCACCAGCAAACACTATCCATTGCGACACCGACTACGACTATACAGGTGCATCGTCATCCCTACTATGACGTACGGAGCAGAGACGTGGACGTTGACAGAGCCTCTCAAGCAGCAGTTACGCAGAACACAACGACGGATGGTACGAATCAGAATCGGAACGCCTAGGAGACGCACGGCAACGGCACCGACACCGCAAGACAATCCAGAGACATCCCCAGATAATCACAACGACACCAGCAGCACAGCACCAAACGACTCCAGCGAGCCCGACGTTTGCAGCAACCCACTTGCACACCAACCAAAACCGCAGGACGACGCCAGCGACGACGAACGCACGCAACCGGGCAATACGCAAAACGAGGACGTCGAATTGTGGTCCGACTTCATCCGCAGGAGTTCACGGAGAGCAGAGACATTGATGTTGAAGCATGACATGCCCGATGTACTCCACCTACACCGAGGGATGGCCTGGCGCTGGGCAAATACGGTGACTCTTCACCTTCCGACACGCTGGATTCAGAGAGTGCTTAATTGGAACGCAAATCTCAACATTAGACAACAAGGACGACGGCAACAAGGAGGGCAACAAAAAATAAGGAACGACGACATCCGGAAGTTTCTCCACACATTGGACGGGTACCACTGCGAAACCGACACGGGGCAGGAACATATCCGAGCGGCGACCCAACCACGACAACACCAAACAACAACACAAACGACTTGCGGTGGCTATCAGCGGCTGGGAGCACTGAGTGGCGGTTATCACGTGAGTCTGCCTATGTTTCACATGTTTGAGGCCACGGCCTCCACGCCACGCCCTAATGGGCACGGGCGTGCTCCCCGTAAGAGCACGCACGCCTCCGGCGTTTCGCTTCGCTTCGCTTCGCTCCCCAACTCAGTACAGCGCTCCGTGGCCCCAGAGGGAGCTCCACCGAAGGTGCTAGTGGCGCAGTTCGCATGCGTCTCCCCCGCTCAGTACAGCGCTTCATGGTCCAGAGGGAGCTTCACCGAAGGTGCCAGTGGCGCAGTTCGCATGCGTGTCCCCCACCCAGTACAGCGTTTCGTGGCTCCAGAAAGGGCCCCACCGAAGGTTCAGTTACGCATTCCGTATGCGTTTCCCCCACCCAGTACATTGTTTCGTGGCCCCATAGGAAGCCCCACCGAAGGACCCAGTGTCGCCTTCATGAGGCGGTTTCAACGAAGGTGTCCCAGTGGCGCAGTTCGCATGTGTCTCCCCCGCCCAGAACAGCGCTTCGTGGCCCCATAGGGAGCTCCAACGATGGTCCCCGTGGCGCAGTTCGCATGTGTCTCCCCAACCCAGTACAGCGCTTCGTGACCTCATCGTTGCCCCATGAGGACCTTCATCGAAGGTGCCAGTGGCGCAGTTCGCATGGCGGCCCCGCTTCAGCCCCATGTGGAGCGGCACTGAAGGCCCCAATGGCTGCGCCCGCATGCGTCCCCGCCCCATTTCGGCGCAACCTTTACGCGTTTCGTGGCCCCTTAAAAAAGAAATCCGCCGACGGCGATACCCACAACGGCGATATTCACAGCTGCATATGTTTGGGCCCTTCGTTTGGATCATTTTTTATCGGGGCGGGGGGGATAGGGTTGCCCCACAGTGCGGATTTTTGGTGTGGCGGCCTGGCAGGGCGCATGTATTGCCAGTGCCGCCCCGCAGTGCACATGTTTTGCCGTCGGGACAGCCATCGGGCCATCCCTCGGGACAGCCATCGGGACAACCTGGGTTGAGTCCAAAGGAATGGCCCAGCGTCAGCCCCGTCTTGAACATCCATCGCGCTGCATCCGTATACATGTTGCACACTTCCAACGTGTAGCCGGAACATCCAGCGCCCGTCAGGCGATATCCCAAGGCAAAAATGGACCGTCGTTCATTCGTATACATCGTGTACTGTTTTGCACTGTTTTGGATGTATTTTGTGAGGAAATCTCGGGCGGCAGTTTTATTGCGAAGGCCGCCGACCCTGCAGATGGAAACGACGAGCAGGACAAGGACGTTGAGGAGCAGGAGGCGGAGGACGTCAGGGAGCAGGATGGGGGAGGAGGAGGAGGAGGAGGAGGAGGAGGAGGAGGAGGAGGAGGAACAGGAGTAACAGGAGGAGGAGGAGGCGGAGGAGGAGGAGGAGGAGGAAGAAGAAGAACAGCATAATAATACTAATAATACTAATAAGAATAATAAGAATAATAATAAAAAGAAGAAGAATAATAATAATAATAATAAGAATAGTAATAATAATAACAATAATAATAATACTAATATGATCAAGCAGAATAATACGAATAATAAGACGAATAATAATACTAATAATACTATTAATAATAATAGTAATACTAATAATAATAATATTATTAATAATAATAATATTAGTAATAATAATAATATACGAATAATAACAGCAACACTAATCATAATAATAATAATACTAGTAATAATAATAAGACGAATAATAATAGTAATAATAAGAATAATAATACTAATAATAATACTAATACTAATAATAAAAAATACTAACAACAATAATAATAGTAATACTAATACTAATAATACTACTACTACTAATAATCATAATAATAATAGTAATAGTAATAATAATAATAATCAATAATAATAATAATAATAATAATCTAATAATAATAAATAATAATAATAATAATAATAATTAATAATAATAATATAATATTATAATAATAATAATAATAAGAATAAGAATATACTAATAATAGAAAAAGAGGGGAGGAGGAGGGGAGAGGAGGAGGAGGAGGAGGAGGAGGAGGAACAGGAGGAACAGGAGGAGGACAAGGAGGAGGAGGAGCAGGAGGAGGAGGAGGAGGAGGAGGAGGAGGAGGAGGAGGAGGAGGAGGAGGAGGAGGGAGGAGGACAGGAGGAACAGGAGGAACAGGAGGAGGAGGAGGAGGAGGAAGAGGGAAAGAGGAGGAGGAGAACAAGGAGGAGGAGGAGGAGGAGGAGGAGGAGGAGGAGGAGAGGAGGAGGAGGAGCAGGAGGAGCAGGAGGGGAGGGGGAAAATGAATAGGAGCAGGACGAGTCGAGCAGGGCCGCATGGTGCAGGAGTGGTCCTGGGGCCTGGGGCCTGGGAGTCCTGGACTTTTTGAAGGGCTGGTTCCTGGTGCTGGGTCCTGCGAGGAGGTCCTTGGGGCTGGGTCCTGGAGGGTCCCGGGGACCTCGGAATTCTGAGTCCTGGGGTGTCCCGTGGACGAGCGTCCAGGAGGCCGGTTCGGTTTTGGAGGGGGACGGAGGAAAGAGGCGAGATGAGGACGGAGGGAGCAGGGGGAGGTAGGAGAGGACGTGTTAGAATGCCTCGGCTCTTGGCCCGTCTGAGGCTTTGTGTGGGCCCCAGGACCCCCAGGGGGGAGTCGTATCTGACGCGGGACCCCCCTTGGGACCCCCCCCCCGCAGGGAAGGGATCAAAGGGAAGGGGCTTCCCTTCGACTCAATGACAACGTATCTCTTGAGAGGGGAGGCCCTGGAAAAGCGGGGGGGGCGGGGAGCGGCGACGGGCCCAGGGAAGAGCGGGAAAGGGGAGGAGGGGAAGGGGAGGAGGGGAAACAGGCCCAGGGAAAGGGGGAGCGCAGGGACAGGCGACGACTGGCCCAGGGAAAGGGTGGGCGCAGGGACAGGAGACGACGGAGACGACGACGAACGAACGATGAAAACGGACAAGCCCCTCACACACGCCGACGCAGGGTCGGCGGATTTTGAAAGCGTGCCGGCCTCCATCCATGCAAGTTCAGGCGAGAGTCGCATTTTGAGCACGACCCGCTCTCCATCCGTGTAACTGCCATAAGGTTCTAAGACGAATGTGCGTGGCGCAAGAGCAATAGCCACATTTGGAAACCACCGGCCCTCCACCCGTATATTTTTGGAATCGTTCAAGTTTCGGGACAGTGGAACGCCCAGCCTAGTTTACGGCAGTGTCTGGTGGTGCCACAGGGAGGAGTGATTTAGCAGGAAGAGGCATGGAGGAGGAGGTGGACGAGGTGCAGGAGGAGAAAGAGGAGCAGGAGTAGGAGGAGAAGGGGTGTCTGGTTGGGAGCAGTAGCCGAGAGGAGGCAAGGGGCGGAGCTGCCCTCTCCGCGATCAGGCTCTTCTGCGGAGATCTGGGGAATGAGGCCTGCCGCGCGCCGCCCCCGCGTGTCATCATCATCAACGTCATCGTCATCATCATCATCATCACCATCATCATCATCATCATCGTCATCATCATCATCATCTTCATCTTCATCTTCATCTTCATCTTCATCTTCTTCTTCATCTTCATCTTCATCTTCATCGTCATCTTCATCGTCATCATCGTCATCATCATCATCATGATCATCATGATCATCATTCTCATCATCATCATCATCATCATCATCATCATCATCATCATCATCATCATCACCGTCAGCATCCTGGTTTCTTTATGGATCCATGGCTAAGTTCGCCTGTGCTCGATGTCAATGAACTTTGTGCGATCACAGTTTTCGTTCCCATCGTAAGTGTCGTCGCCGTCATCACCATCACCATCACAATGATGACCGTCATCACCATCATTACCCTCATCCAGGTCATCACCTTCACCACCCGTAGCCATTCTGGCTCAGGCCAGCTGGCTCAGGCACGTGCTGTTTATTCACCTCGCGCTGCGGCCCGCTGCTGCGGTTGGCCCGCCAATCGGATTCTCTTGCTGCGCCTGGGAGCTGAGCTGGCCAGAGGCTCGCGACCCCACCTGCGGGTGCACCGTGATGCACGACCGTGGCGACACACGCGGACAGACCAGAGGACTGAGCCTGCGGCGCGTGCGATTTCGCGGGTGCGGGGGCAAGGGGGCTGCACTGCCACCAGTGCGGCAAGCTGTGCTCCAAGCGGCACGGAAAGGCCTGGAGGTGCCAGCTCGCGCCGCGTGACATCGCGCGGCTGCGCGATCTTCGAGGCGGCGGCCAGGGCGGCCGGGGAGTCCGAGGGCCGAAGGGCGGGGCAGCGGCCCTCCTGGCCAGGAAGCCAATCACAGCCCACCTAACCACCCCAAACCAACCTGGAGCCCTCGATTTGTCCTCTATTTCCAGTGTGGGGGGGTGTCGGGGAACATGGGACAAGCACATATGAACCTCACCCCCCCGCCCAACCCGAAATTCGGGTCTTCGGGTTGGGCTGGGGTGGTCTGGTCAAGGGTCTGGCACCTGACGGGCCCTCGGCGCACCCGTGAGCTTCCGGCCATGGTGGAGGCGACGCCCCTCTTGCCACCTCGCTCACCCGCACTCGCGGATCTCCGTTGCGTGCTTTAGCCAAGCGCGTCGCGGAGGACGCGACACAAGGCCGAGCGGACCTGAGGTTTTTAGGGCCTGTCGTTTTTTCGCCTCGTCTGCTTGTCACTGGCAAGGGTACTCGCTCTCCTGGGGCCGTGCCGTGCTGCCCTAGGAAGGTGTTGCGTCTGCTCGGATGGCCATCACTTATTGACGCTTCTCGTACCCCCACCTTCCAAACCAGGCAACATGCGAGTTGCCCCGAGCAGGGATGTGTAGCAGTGGACGCTGACGACGACGACGAGGAGGAGGAGGAGGAGGAGGAGGAGGAGGAGGAGGAGGACGACGACGACGACAGGATGCGATATCAAGACCTTTGCGATCTTTCGCGTGGGGAGCGTCTTGGAGGCCTCTTGAGACCATCGTGGGGCCATTTTGGGGCCGCCTCTTGGGGCTCTTGGGGCTCTCTTGGTGCCATCTCGGGGCGCTCTTGGTGCTCTCCTGGGGCCATCTTGGGGGCCTTGGGGCGCTTTTTTGGGCCATCTTAGAGGCCATCGATCCAAATAGGTGTGGGTCGCCGATTTCGGTCCCCCCGTCGGGGCCCGAAACATCGCCTCCTGAGGCCCTCTTGGGCCGCCCTTGAGGCGGTCCTGTGCGCTCTTGGGGCCGTCTTGGGCCCCTCTTTGTCACCTCTTAGGGGCCATCTTAGATAGTCTTGGAGCCATGTTTAGGCCCCAAGATCCCATCGCAAGAGAAACATTCAGAGGGCACAACACAATGAACACACATTGGGTCCTGAAGGATTTTGGCCTCCTGGGGGCCTCCTTGGGAGGCGTGGAGGGTATATGGAGCCATTATGAGGCGATCTTAAGGGCTCTTGGAGGCATGTTTGAGGCTATCTTAAATAGTCTTGGGGTAACTTGAGCGATTCTGGAGGCCATCTTGGGTTCTCTGGGGCCCTCTTGGAGCGTCCAGGGCCAACCACGGAGGCTCTAACTTCTCGCGGGTGGAGGTCTCCATACCCAGGGGGAGGGAGGAGGGGCACCCCCCTCCCCGCAGTGGAAGACGGGGGTTAGCAGAACGAGCTCGCTAGACCGCTCACGTCCAGAGGGTTGGTGGGATTCTAAACATGAGCACGCGCGGCAGACGCATGTTGGATGTCGTCGAAGCTGGCCTCATGAATGCAGTCCAAGCGGCAGTTGTCCATCTATGGGCTTCCCGTAATTCGGAATTACGGGAAGCCCATAGATGGACAATTACCGCCTGCGAATTATAGGAAACCCATCGGCCACCAGAAACCCCTAGGGAATCTGGCGGCCGATAGGTTTCCCATAATTCGCGGCGGCGAGCGGGGTGCAGATCCCGAATTATGGGAGGCCCATCGGCCGCCAGAAACCCCTAGAGAATCTGGCGGCCGATGGGTTTCCCATAATTCGGCGGGGGCAATTCTGAGAAACCGATAGGTCGCCAGATTCCCGAGGGGTTTCTGGCGACCGATTGGTTTCCCCTATTGCCAGGACGAGCTTTCTTGAGGTCGTAGGGGTCGCGTCTGACGCCCTGCGACCTCGGGTTTTCCATGATGCGCTTTGTGAACTCTAACGAAGTATGGGAAGCCCATGGACGGGCACCAGCTGTCAAAGCTGGCACCCAGAGGGGCCCTTGCATCCCTCGGTTCTGGGTGTGCTTGCTATGGTTGCGGATTTCTCTTCAAGGATGCCCCCGACTTGGCGCGCACTAAATGCTTTGCATCCTTATAACCTATCATTACGGCTGATTCGGCTGTACCCTCCATCGCGCACGCCTTTTTGCGTGTGAGCTAATCCGAGTCCAGTGTTGTTGCTCGACACCCCTTTGGTCCAGACGCCTTTTTCCCTTTCTGACAAAGATACCCTTGGGAGCCTCTGTCGGGAAAAACACGTGCTTGATGCCGAACGTACGTGCCGCACGCATGGTGGACAAGACAACCCCCTGCCCTCAACATCGCAGGCTCAAGCACGTGCCATGCGAATGTTGGGATGTCCAGGCGAATGCGTGATGGATACCCCTCGCGAACGTATTGTAACGTTCAAGAAGTGTGGCGCTGCTGTTTGACACCCGCCTTGTCCAGGGCCAGACGACCGTCCACACAAAGACAGCCTGGCCTGGGCCAGAGCCCCTGCTGCGGAACGTCCAGTGCCTTCTTGACCCTCGAGGCGCGCTCCGCTGCGTCCTGCGCTTCGGGTGGGGCGTCGCGCCGGGTCAGTGCTCACAGGCGCAGGGGGATTCCGCAAGTCTTGTCCGGGCGAGGTCACCGACGACCTCCTCGCCAATGCCTTCCGAAAGTACAGCTCCTTCCAGAAGGCGAAGGTGACGAGCTCGACCCCCGCGTGGGGGTGGGTGGGGGGAGCGTGAGGATGGGGGAGCAGGTGGGCCATGGCCATGCGGGGGGCTGGGATCTGATGCGATGGAGGGATCGGGGAAGGGAGAATGAGGAAGAGGAGGAGGATGAGGGGGAGGAGGAAGACAAGTGTAAACCCAAGCGTCATCAACGATGTTGGAATAATCCCTTCCTCCAAGCTCCCTCTTCACAGGCCACTACCGTTTGAAGACCCTGAAGCATGCCAAAACAATGTTCTCGGGATTTCAACGCCACGGATCAACCTGACTTCTGCGTCTTGACAATCCTGACTCGCGCCAGAACGCCATTCTTGGGATTTCAACACAGCGAATGGACAGAACTACTCGCATAGTCCTGAATCCTTTCAGAACACAATTTCTGGCATGTTGATGATGGGAAACCGTGAAACTTTTGCAAATTTTGTAAACGAATGTGCGCAGCGCTAAGGCGAGAGCTACATCTTGAAAAGGAACCGCCCCTAATCCATGAAACTCTTGCACCTTTTTATGACGAATGTGCGCCGCGCTAAGGCGAGAGCCACGTTTTTTGAAAACGACCCGTCCTTAATTCGTGAAGCTCTTGCAAAGTTTTAAAACACATGTGCGCCGCGCTAAGGCGAGAGCCACATGTTGAAAAAGGAACCGCCCTGACTCCGCGACACTCTGGCACATTTTGTAAAACAGAATGTGCGCGGCGCGGCGCCAAGGCGAGAGCCACATTTTGAAAAGGAACCGCCCTCAATCCGTGAAGCTCTCGCACATTTGTATAACGAATGTGCGCCGCGCTGAGGCGAGAGCCACATTTTGAAAACGACCCGTCCTCCATCTGTGAAGCTGTTGCCGGGCGAAGCGCCGGGCCCGCCCTAAACACTGGCCTTGGGGTGCGACTGGGAGAAGTTATCCATAAGGATAAGGAGGACGAAGACTATGATGATGAAAATGATGATGATTATGATGGTGGTGGTGATGATGATGCTGCTGATGATGCTGGTGATGCTGATGATGATGCTGATGATGCTGATGATGCTGATGATGATGGTGGTGGTTATGATGATGTTGATGATGATGCTGATGCTGGTGATGATGATGCTGCTTCTGATGATGGTGATGTTGATGTTGACGTTGAATTTGATGATCGTGATGATGAGGGTACTGATGATGTTGATGACGATGGTGGTGGTGGTGGTGATGATGATGCTGATGATGATGATGGTGATGCTGATGATGACGGTGGTGGTGGCGATGCTCATGTTAGTAATGATGATGCTGATGATGCTGATGATACTGATGATGTTGATGTTGATTATGCTGATGATTATGACGATGATGATGAGGATGAGGACGAGGACGAGGATACGGATGAGTATGAGGATGCTGCTGCTGCCGATGATGATGGTGATGATGACGAGGATGATGGTGACGATCCGATTATGATGATGATTCGAAGATGATGATACGATGACGATGCTGATGATGATGGCGCTGATAATGCTGATGATGTTGATGTTGTTGTTGTTGTTGTTGTTGTTGTTGTTGTTGTTGTTGTTGTTGTTGATGTTGTTGATGATGATGATGATGATGATGCTGATGATGATGATGATGATGATGCTGATGATGATGATGATGATGATATGTTGGCGATGATGGTGATGTTGGTGGTCACGATGATTCTGATTTTGTTGATGATGATGATGATGATGCTGATGCTGATGCTGAAAATGATTATGATGCGGATGATGATGATGATGATGATGATGATGATGATGATGATGATGATGCTGTTGGTGATCGTGATGTCAATGCTGATGGTGATGATTATGATGATGAGGATGTTGCTGACACTGATGATGCTACTGCTGCTGATAGTGATGCTGATGTTGATGCTGATGGTGATGCTGATGATGCTGATGATACGGACGATACTGATAAGGATGATGCTGATGAGGATGCTACTGAGGATGCTGTTTCTGGTTCTGATGCGGAAGTTGATGCTAATGCTGATGATGCTGATGCTTATGATGATGGCGATGATGCTGATGCTGATGAGGTTGTTGCTGATGCTGCTGCTGCTGCTGACGATGATGCTTACATATGACGAGATGGAGGAGGAGGCGGCGCCGGACGAGGCTGAAGAGGAATGGGGGGGGTGCAGGCGGAGGATGATGAGACGGATCAGACGGCGGGCATGGACATGGGGACAATGGTTGTGATGATGTTCATGATGCCAATGGTGATGATGAGACTGTTGATGATGAGGATGGCGACGACGATGATGATGCTGATGACTATGCTGATGGTGATGATGCTGATGATGATGCTGATGCTGATGCTTGTGATGATGCTGATGATGGGGATGCTGGTGATGATGATGATGCTGATGATGGTGCTGATGATGGTGATGCTGATGTTGTTGATGATGGTAATGATGACTATGATGATGATGCTGCTGATGGTGATGCTAATACTGATGATGACGATGATGACGATGATAAGGATGATGATGGTGATGATGCTGATGCTGCTGCTGCTGCTGATGATGATGATGATGATGATGATGATGATGCTGATGCTGATGCTGGTGATGAAACGGCGGGGGGAGGAGGGGGCGGAGGATGATGATGATGATGACGAGGATGGTCATGCTAAGCGCATGGTGCATTAGCGAAGCTGCAATGCACCCTGCCTTCCCAAGCCCCTCACCAGAATTCCGACAAGATTCCATTTTCATTGCGACAAGCTTCCCTTGAACGACGGGAGCTCCATAGGCATGCCGTTCAAGCGAGAGCCCCGTTCTAAACGGACCCTCCCCTCCATCTGTTTAGTTGTCAGCGCGGCCAAGGGGTACGTAAGATGCCAGCGGGAGCTCGCGTTCAGACGGGGCAACCCTCCGCCCGCGTGATTGTTGCACAACTTACCCTCCTGGACGTAAGCTGAAGTCTCGAGTGGGATCGCCCTCTCTGGGAAAGGAGCAGCCCTCCGCCTGTGTAGCTGTTGCACATGTCTGAACTTCTGGACGTCATTTGGAGTCCCGAGTTGGATTCGCATGTTTTGGAAACGGGGCAGCCATCCACTCATGCAGTTCTTGCGCATTTTCTAGCTATATGGACACCAAGCTTCAAAGCAGCATGCCCAAGCGATATATTAGACGGAGCCACCCTCCATCCTCGTAGTTGCTGGAAGCTTTAAGGCCAAGTTGTCGCGGCGGTAAGATGACAACGTTTCGAAAAACATCCGCCCTCCATCAGTCTAAGTGTTGGGAGTTTCCAGCTCCTGGGCCGTCAATCGTGAAGGCGTCCAAATCGACACTCTGGCCCGCCCTACCGCCACCTTTGGTGTTGCGGCGGCGAAGCATTGCTCTATCTACATTAGGTATACGCTTGGAGGAGGAGGAGGAGGAGGAGGAGAACGAGGAGTAGGAGAACGAGGAGGAGGGGGAGGAGGAGGAGGAGGAGAAGGAGGAGGACGGGGAGGAGAGGAGGAGGAGGAGGAGGGGGAGGAAGAGGAGGAGGAGGAGGAGGAGGAGGAGGACGGGGAGAGGAGGAGGAGGAGGAGGAGGAGGAGGAGGAGGAGGAGGAGGAGGAGCGAGCGAATCTCGGGGCATCCACCATCGGCCTGCCCTGACTGCGAAACTGAGCAACCGTCACATGCTATCCTTGGGTGCTGCCGGATTCTGGGACGGGGTATTCCAACCCCAACGCGGAGAAAAACGTTTCGACTCTGCAGACCCTGCTTGCGCTCTCCTTTCCGCGAGCACCCCCCCCCAAGGCACGCAACACGCAACCCTGAGGACGGCGCCCACTCAGGCGCGAGAGCCTTGCCCGCCGTCAAGACGTCCGCGCCCACCACGTCTGCCTGGCGCGCCTCGGCCGTGGTCAGGAAGACAGACCAGCGGGTGGGCAGGCAGGTCTTCGTCAGCGTAGCTACTTGCCAGCACGGCCCCAGATCGGGCCATATCCGCGGTCTCTGCACTGGCACTGTCTCGGGCTTCCAGGTCCGCCACCCTCTGACAGCTGCTAAAACATTGCCCCCGTCTCCTGTCGATGTCTCCGACGCGAGGCGCCAGAGCAGGATGAGCTACTTCGCGTGGTTCACCGTCTTCGCGATCTCCCTCTCGAGTGGGCCCCTGGGTGCCGAGCCGTGCACTGCCGTCCCACCCTCGTGCAGGATCACCTTCATGATTTGTGGGCGGCAAGCCAGGGCAAACTTCGTCTCCTTGTTGAAGTTCGTGATCACCAGGCACTGCGGCTCATGGCCCTCCTCCCTGCGCAGCACCTTCAGCCTGAAGTAGAGCACCGCTTCCGCGATGTCCTCCATGCCGCTCGAGGCGGTATGGTTCCTCCACACCTCTTTGGCCTCGAGAGCGTTGGTCTTGTCGTCGTCCTGGCCCTCCGCCGCCGTGCGCTCCGCCACGTACTGGAATGCCGCTAGGAGCACGTGGATGTGCGGGGGGCCGCGCTTCTTGAACTGCTCCTGCGAGGCGATGGACTCCTTCATGGCCTTGCTGTCGTCCTCGTATTTCTTGCCCGCCGCCTGCATAGCCCTGGGGGGAGCCCGCTCGAGAGGGGCATCAGGAAGGTCACGTACACTACCGCCGCCAAGTCGGCCACCGCGCGAGCCTGCGCTGGCACCCAGCGCCCGATGGCCGTCAGCAACTCCATCAGGTCGTCCTTCTCGCCCTTCTTGCCCCTCTTTCTCGACGTTGCCCTCGCCTCCGGTCGCCCCCGTGTTGCCGCCTGCCCTCTGGGTCGGGAGGCTGGACCACGACGGTATCGCCAGCTCCATCTGTTCCAGAGGCTCGGATTCGGTGTATCGCTGGTGCCTGCCTCAACGTCGTCGGAAGATGGCCGAGGAGGTGGCTACAGCGGGCGGGGAGATCCCCGGCTTCGTGGCCACACGTCGGGCACGGGCTCCTGAAGGGTCTCACTGCTCCGCGGCCCGGCCCCCGGCGTTCCCTGGGAAACATCGCTCTCGCTTCCGCGCCGCCTCCGGGTGGCGTGCGGTCACGATGCGAGTCTTACCACCTGTCGGCACCCAATGCGGATATTCGTCGGTGTCAGTGGAGGTGGTGCTGTTGGGTCACGTGCTGAGGAGGGAGGTCTGGGCAGAGAGACGAGCCCCGCATAATTCCCCATCGTCCGTCCGCACCTCACATCAAAAAGCCCCGTCGTCGTGAACCCCCTCCGTCGTCACATGCACACCAATTTCTGTCACAGGCGCAAGCTGTGGGAACCTCCAGTCGGTGACCTGTTCGTACTCCGCCGGCGATGGGATCTGCATTGTATTGAAGGCTGCTCGCAACCTCCGAAAGTCCAGAGCCGTGAACTCTGATGACTGTTGGAGGCCTCCTGGTGGCCTCCTTTGGGGCCTCTGGGGGGGCCTTTGGGGGCTTGTTGGGCGCCTCTTTGGCTGTCTTGAGGCGTTCCTGACCCGCCTGGCGCCGTCGGAAGCAGTTTTGGGGGCCCTTCTGAACTGACTTGTGGCCTTCTTCAGGGCCGTTCTGGAAGTTATCTTGGGCGTTTCGGAGGCCAGTGGGGCCGTTTTGGGGTCCTCTTGCGACCGTGTTGGGGCTCTTGGACCGTCATGGGGCCATCTAGGAGGCCTTTTGGGCGATTTCGGGGCGATCTTAGAGGCCTCTTGGGTCCAACATGATCGCCGCCCGCCCTCTGTGGACATAGCGCAATGACACATAGTTGGCGAATGGAGATTGAGGAAACACTTCGGGAGCAAAGAAAACAGAAGTCGAGGTGCTACTGAGAAGGCTTTGACTGTGGGATCTCCGAACACATCCCGAACGTTTCCAGCAATCTCTTGGAAGTCGTCGGCCGCTTTTTGGGAACTTTTCGAACACCCTTCTCACTCGCTAATCCCCTTCAATGGTCAAGTTTAAACTGCTCGGAGATCGAATTTGTCATCGGCCCTGGCACTTCCCGATGCTAATCTTGCCTATTCCAGGGTAGTTGCCAATCCAGCCCAATTTGGGCAAATCAAGCCACAGTTAATTGTCTTATGTTTTAGTCTCATATCCTGACGAATTCAAAGATCTCCTGCCCGCTCCCAGGAAGACTTTCCAGGAATTGTCATCCGATACAGGGCATTTCCAGCCTCGATTCGAGGCTGGGGGACACGCACATACACCGCCTGATTAGCCTATCTTCCTGGACTTCGGGGGCGGCGGATATGGATATACTCGGCGCCCCTGGGGCCCAAAGGTATCCACACACACATCGTCCCCTCGTGTCCTGTGAGATCGCTTCCCCAGGCGATGGTTATGTTCAGGCATGCCAAGGATGAGGATGGCTCCGTCCCAGAGCGTTCGCCCTCACGGCGCTACGGAGCGCCCTGACACGGCTGCGGCGCACGCGGCGTTCTCCGGACCCGCCTTTGCTCAGGGATTCCTGGCTGACCCTCGTCCGCAGGTGTTCCCGTCCTGCCCCCGCCTGGCACGCACGCGTGCCCGCCCCGCGCCCGGCTCGCAGGTGATCCGTGACAAGCGCACCGGCAAGACCAAAGGCTACGGCTTCGTGTCCTTCTCGGCGCCCGAGGCCCCTCGCCCTGCTGCGGCCGCCGCGGGCCGAGCTCGGCCGCGAGCGCGGCAGCAGCCGCGACCACCAGTTTCTCCTCCGTTGTCGCCGCCCTCATCCCTCGGATGCCTGGCTGTGCATGTCGCCGAGGGCGCCGTCGCCGCCGCTTGTGCTCACCCGCTTCGGCCTGGTCGCCGCCGACTTGTAGCCGGATGCCCCCTGATTTCGGGCCGCTTTACGCACACGTGTGTGTGTGTGTTTGTGTGCATGCCGAAGAGCAGTACAGATGTTTGCCAGCGCGTGTCCCGAATCGTATGCTTGTTGCTTTCTCGATGTACTACATGGGATGGAATACTTGTGCTGCATGCTATACTCGTGGCGTGTGGTGCAGTATGTGGGATATAATCTCTGTGGTTCCACCAATGTGCTGCAGTGTGTGCGGTGCAATCCTGGGTGGGGTGCGCACTATGTGGTGCGCTTTTTGTCATGCATGTTGTGTGGATAAGTTTACCTCCTCCTCCTCCGCCTCGCAGGAGAACGCCCAGGAATGCCAGCCAGTGCGCGAGGCATCGACGAGCCGGCGCCGGGCGCCCGCCGCACGGCAACTCCGACGTGCCATCCAACTGCGTATCGGGGAAACGTAAGATTCGACTATGCCGGAACTGGGGCTTGCCGACGCTTTTTGACGAGCGCGTCCTGGATTTCGAGTTTCGAGGGTCCAGTTTTCGTGGGATGTTTGCAGCGGGGGCCCGCGTCAAATTTCAGACTAAGTCTTGTCATTTTCATGACGGTCCCGTCAGGCCAACCCGAGTCCCTCGAACCCGAGTCTCACATTTTCCGAACGTAGAGCCAAGCAAGACACCCTTTGGTGAAATACATTCTGCTGGACCCACAGATCCCAATCTTCTTGAAGCGTCTTCCTACCTCGAGAGCCGAGGGTTTCCTACTCTGGCCGTGCACCGCTCGGGTGCGTCGGGACCGAGTGCGCTTTGTTCTTTCAGCGCCAGCTTTCCATCACTTTCTTATCACTTTCTTCTGAACGGCCTGTGCTTACCAGCTCCTGCCTAGCCCCACCAGCTCAGGCTACTGACACCGCTGCTTGCTGCCGAAGGCCCCCCACCATTCTCGAGGTCGTCCGCAGGGGCGCGAAGGTGGCCGCGCTTCGTGCTTCGCGTCCGGCGCTGGAGAGGGGCGCCGCGGGGGCGCGAAGGTGACCGCGTTTCGCGCCCCACGCGGCGCGAGACGCGAGGGCAGGTGACCTGCTTCAGGGTCCGCGCGCACGCATCATCAAGCACTGCCCCCGCTTCAGCTGGGCGTCTCGCTTGAAGCGATTCTGGTGCGCGCGCGCCATCTGCCGTACGGTGCGCACGCCGCTTCGAATGCCTCCCCCCGCCGCCGAGGACATGGTCGCCGCCCTGCGAGATGTGAACGGGAGGTACGTCGGTAACAGACCCGTGCGGCTAAAGAAGAGCAGCTGGAAGGATACCGGTTCCTCGCCACTCTGCGACCCCTTGCGAATCCTATCTCTACGTGTCCGATCCTCTCCCTCTCTCTCTCTTTGCAGTCGACGGCGCGTGCCGACTCAGGCAAACGGGTGAGCATTGCCTTCGAGTAGCAGGCTCTCTTCCAGGGGCCCCCCTTCGCCCCTTCGCCAGGGAAGAAGCATTGGTGCCTGCACGGTTTCGGAGTCGCCAGCCAGTGCGGTGACCACATCGTCCCGTTAGCGGGCTGTTTTTTGGGTTTTGGGTCATTCTCCGAGGGAAGTCTCGGCCGCTCAACCGCGGTGAGTCCCGTGGTGTTCCGAGGTCATCGCACGGTCCATCGCCAGACGGTTTCGGGACTCGCAGGCGGTCGGTGCTCCCGCTCACCTTCGCTGGAGTGACCCTCGGTGGACAGCTCTCCGGGGGCGCGGGGCGTCGCCGGTGTCTCGGCGGAGCCGCCGTGGTCTCGGCTGGCCTTCCTCCGGAGGCATGCTCTCGTGCGCACCGCGGCGCGACACGTCGCGGTGCTCCGAGGCACCCTCCGTCTCCCTGGGACCACCCCGGGCGGGGAAGCCTGGCCACAGGGAAGAACTTGCGCTCGCTCTGCGGCCGTGGCCTGCGCGGCGGCATCCCCTGGAAGGCTCCGTGCCACCTCGGGGGGAAAGAGGAGGAGGAGGAGGAGGAGGAGGAGGCGGAGGAGGCGGAGGAGGAGGCGGAGGAGGCGGAGAAGGAGGAGGAGGAGGAGGAGGAGGAAGAGGAATCAAATGAATATTGATAATAAGAAGAAAAATCATAATAATAACAGTAAGAATACTACGAGGACTACTATTGATAATACTGATAGCAATGAGAATAATAAGACGCATGGTACGCATATTAATAAGACGAAACATAATAATGATAGTACGAGTGTGAATAATAAGACACATGGTATTATTACGAATGATACTAATAGCAATAAGCACTAATCAGGAGTATAATAACAAGAGTCTGGATAAGGAACAAAACATACTACTCATACTAATACGAATAATTATAATAATAGTATTCAGAACACTACTACTAACCATAAGAATGCTACACATTGATAAGAAGAATAAGACGACGACTCATAAGAAGAAGGATGCTAATACTTGCCTCTGTAGGGGTGCTAGCGGATTAAAGGGTTAGGTGAGGTTTGTCGCCGATTTCGGTGGCCGGGCCCGGGTGCCCGGGTGCCCAGGTGCCCGGCGGTGCCCTGGTGCCTGGGTGGCCGGTGAGGTGCGTGGCCGATTTCGGTGGCCGGGCCCGGGTGCCCAGGTGCCCGGGGGTGCCCGGGGTGCCCAATAGCCCAATAGCCCAGTATAGCCCAGCAGCCTTATAGCCCTATAGCCCTATAGCCGTATAGCTGTATAGCCCTGTAACCCCACAGCCTTATATCCCTATAGCCCTAATGGCCTTATATCCCTATAGCCCGCCCTATAGCCCATATAGCTCTATAGCCCCATAGCCCTATAGCCCTATAGCCCTATAGGTCACAGTCCTATTGCCCTATAGCCCTATAGCCCGATAGCCCTATAGCCCTACAGCCCTATAGCCCGATAGCCCGATAGCCCTATAGCCCTATAGCCCTATAAGGGAGCAGTTGGAATATTAAAAACATCGGATTGGGTTTTTTTCCGGTATTATAAGATTTATAAGACGACGAAACGTATATATGATAATGGTAAGAATTGTAAGATTAGAAGACCAATAATAACTCGAAGGAGGATGAATGAGACGAGTAATAATGATAGACGTACTAATAAGAAGACGAATAAGAAGCAACCTCATAATACTAAAAAGAAAAAGAAGAGGAAGAGGAGGAGGAGGAGGAGGAAGAGGGGCCATCTTGCTGCTGAACCCGAGCCGCTCCCATAGATGCCAGAGGGTGAAGCTCCACCGGCGAGAGGGACCAAATGACCTGCGACTGGAGTGCAGCGTCCTCGCGTCAACGCGTACCTCGCTGACGGCACGGCCCAGGAGAGCCGAGGAGACAGTCGAGGAGACTGCCAAGGATACCAGGCCACTTCTCCCAAGGCCGAGGCGCTCCGGGACCGTCGGTGTCTACGTCTTGTTCCCGACGATCACGACAACATCAACGTCCTGGTCCACCGTCGAATCTCCAAGGTGAAGTACTCGAACACGGTTGCCACCCCAGGAGGACAAATCGATCGGAGGGACTTGGATATTGCACACAGGCGGAACCTGGACATCAACTTCGCTGCCAGGTACGCGGCCAGTCGGGAGCTTGCAGAAGAAGCTGGGCTGTGCATCTCTCTGGACAACCTGGTGGAGTTCCTAAAGACAAGACCACGATCCCACCAAACAAGACCGACGGCTTCCTCCTCTTGGGACATCCCGAAGTGGAAGGACCGCAGCATCGTTCTCGTGGTGAGGTGGTGTAGCAGGGTGTTCAATAGTTGGGGTTCCCTGCCGGAGACACCTCCCATGCCTGGATCAATGTGGACGACCTCATCGAGCTACCAGACCTCCGACCAGCATGTAAGCAACCACTGCTCTACATCGCGACGGTGGAGGAAGGATATTGTGTGCAGATGAAGCAAGACATGGCGAAGCAAGCGGAGTCGATGAAGAACGAGCCATCCGAGCTTGAAAGGAATGGGCGCTGGCAGACCGACGGAGTGATCGACTACCTGATACTGAAGAGCCGTGTTCAGCTGAACGCTCAGGTTTCGAACCCCAACGCGGCCTTCAACTTTCCCGTCGGAGGCGATGGCCGTGCAGCATCAATGCCCGAGACAGCTTACTTTTCATGTCTGGCTGAAGCTGTTGACGCAAGTGCCACTCGGCATCGCCCTGGGCCTGATCGAGTCGCGCAGTGCGTATGAGTGCGAGATCGTGCAGAACTATCTCAAGGCAGCAGACGAGAGCGGTGACGACGAGCCTCTCTACGCGTACTTCCAGGTGTGCACGGACACCGAGATCCAGGACCCTTCGGACTTTAACCCGGTGTCAGAGTTCATTTGGACGCCCTCATCGACCTGCCAGGCTGGTTCCCCGCAGCGCTGGCCATCGCCCCCAGTGTGAACTACCGCGAAATTCCGCAGATCGACAGGAACCTCTGGCACCCTCCTCAGAAGGACAAGGAGTTTTGCGTCAAGAGCTGGGGAGAGCTGGCGAAAGAAGGCGATGAGGCTCGCGAGGACATGATGGACCATATCAAGGTTCACGGCGGGAGCGACGAGGAAAAAGAACTGGCGCGCCAGTTGGAGAACCTCGGCGAGTTGTCAAATGCTGTGGGGATTCTTGAAGGATCCGTCGACAACCCTCCTCTAGCGGGCGGAGCCGTCCGAGAGGCCATGAAGGCAGTGGTGACTATCGATCATTGAGCCTCCTACTCCCAGACTGGCAGATTCCCCAGCGGAGAGTGGCGATCTACTCCTCGGACCTGAAGAGAAGTACAGCGGCGCGCACTGGAGGGAGGCTTGCGCATTGCGCAGGACGAACATGGTTGTTCTCAGCCAGATGATGAGCCAAAACTGGAAAGCGCGTGCGAAGGTTGACGCTGTGAGGGGCCACCTACTCGACGCTCTCCTTCGCTGCGACTGTTCTGGCCATCTTGGTTCTGAAGGCTCACTCTGAGAGATTCGAGTGGCCCGAGGATCCCGGTCCATTCAGGTACGCAGCTGGTTGGTCTGAACAGAGGGCTGTAGTGCACGTGGTGCACTCGCGCACAAAACGTTCTCAACTATCGAATCCTGGCGCGTGCCCGGGGCAGGGGGGTCGGCGGCGAGGGCGTTTCCGAAGTTGCTTAAGCTAGTTTCGGAAAAAAGAAAACATGCTTTCGTGACAGTTCTAAACTGACACTTTGGGGCCACGAGGCATTTTCACGAAGTTCGGAGCGACCCAATGGACGAAATTCAACTCCTCTGGCGAATGGGGTGGGGCAGGGGTCACCCCCCCCCTTGCCCCCCCTCCCACCCTCGGCGAACCTGCGGGGCTTCCTGCACTAGTTTTCCAGAGTATACCAGGCCGTCGCCACCAGCCGAGAAGCGCAGCGAGTAGGGGGAGGTGGCTCAAGGGGGGGGCATTCATGTGCCAGTCGCTCATTTATGGCAAAGGGATGAGCGACCCGCAGTCGCCCATTCATCGCCGATCGGGAATTGGGTGCCCCACTCTTCCAGGAACGTGCGGTTTCGCTACCACGGGTCTATTGCATCGCTGGTACATCGGCAATGTACTGCCGATTCCAGATCAATGCTTCACCTCTTGCGCCAACCCATCACTACCGCTCTCCATGACAACGCCCAATCGATTGGTTACCCACTGGGTTTGCATGTCCGTTTCCCCTTCTTCCTTTGACGCTGCCTCGCCCGCCGCTTGGCCCAACGTTTCAGATGTTCAATGCGATTTTGCCCACCGCTATGTGTCGCCAGTATTCCCTCCCCAAACTCCAGGGACACGGGTGCAATCCGGCTTTTTAACGGGGTCCCGAGGGGAAGGGGTCTTGCCTTTCAAACGCATGCGACTTGATGGGCGGAACAATATACGAGGATGGTCATGGCCACCAAGTATTGGATCGGCAATATCGGCCGCCGTGCGAACAGCAACGCTTGCCCACCAATCGCGCAGGCAACACATTCTGGATTCCGGACGGGGCCGGATTCCCCGGGCTTGCCTCCGTAGGGGGTGGTGGTTGTCATCGTGTTTGCGTGTTTGTCCGTCTGTGCTTTTGTCTGTCTGTCAGTCCGTCTCCGCCGTCTGCCTGTCTGTCGTCTGTCTCCCCGTCGCTTCTCCGTGGGTCGTGGCGGCCTCGGGCAGTCGTCGAAAGGGGGGCACCCTGCGGGTTCGCCCGCTTTGACAGATGTCGCAGAAGCACGGCGCGCCTGGCGCGCGCAGCTCGCCTTTGCCGCGCCCGCCCACCCGAGCTGCGATACCAACGTTGCAGGCTGTGCGGCGGTGGGTGTGTCCCAGGCGCCCAGCCCAATAGGAGGAGGAAGAGGAGGAGGAGGAGGAGGAGGAGGAGGAGGAGGAGGAGGAGGAGGAGGAGG